GGACACAACCGACAAACCCATTCAATTTTTGTAAAGTTATTCCCTTAACATCGCGAATTATCATCTGGGGTAATTATTTTCAAATGCGAAACTTGCCGTATCCATGGGAATGGAACCACAAAAAAGCTAAATGAAATAATTTCATGCATTCTCTTTTCACAATGCGATCTACTTTTGCCTACTGGTCCATCCTGCTTTTCGGATAGTGTCGATAAGACATTAATGAGCAATACTTGAAAACGTGAAGAGCATTGCTTCCTATGCCTCATCATACAGTTATTTTCTAGGATCATTAATCAGGATTGACAAGGAAAAGAAGCATTGCAACATCATGGTTGTGATGTAATGTCGAAGTGATGAGTGCTAAGTTTGATAAATCATGTTCCCGTTTAGTTGCTCCAAGAATAAGGAATCAAGTTTCTCTCAACGGATATTGCACAATTGTCGAGAAAGATTCTTTGCATCAGAGCAACAAACTTACATACCACCGATCAAAAACTTGCATATCAGAACAGAAAGCTAAAGGCAAAAAAGAATGTTTTTTTAATTAAAAGATTTTATTTTTGAAATTTTTCTGACATTCTGGAAGAATCGGTGATATATTAAATATAATAAAATTATTGCAATTCAAGTTTGTGAAATGGCAAGTTTCTGATAATAATGATTGCATTCATCGGATGGTTTTGATTGAGTCACGCGTGAGTATTTCCATTACCATTCCATTTCCTTTTGTTTGCAGGATACAGATTTTGTTTCCGTTATGGTAAGAAATGAATCACATATTCTTATGCATTTTAATCATCTTTCGGCAATCTGATACGAGCTATCAGCTTTGTCGTTGTACTCATTGCATTAGAACTCTGGAAAATTTTAGCATAAAAACGTTTGTTTCGACGTCAAAATAAGAGGCATGACAATAAGTTTAAAATTATAGCGTTTCGACATTGATTCAAGCTATTTAATAAAATAACTAGGTACACCTATTGGTTTCAGAATCTAGCCTATATACTGTATATGCAAAAATGATGGAGAAGCTGAAAGGTCAAGATATGCAACAATAATGCATAATTCTTACAGTAAACTAAGTTTGTCCTATCGTGAGCAAAAATAATCCTATCTGCTTATTCTTCAGAAGTCTGCGGCCGGGTTTTATTTGCATAAAATGCCATACTTCGCCATGAAAATTTTCGAGTTTGCTCTGTGTATGTGTATTCGTTTGCGCTGAAATTTGAAAGTCATTTGAAGAAGAAGTACTTTTTCTTGAGCACACAGCACCTTTCAGTGACAATGTGATGAGAAAATGTGACTTATCCGCCGTTTGATGCCGTCTTCATTTACATATGTGCAAGGTTGCCACCTCAATTTTTGAAAAAAACATTTTATTTCGCGTAGAATGATATGAATCTGGAGTTTATTGGCTTTATTATATACTGCACAAGACTTTAGTGGGAACAATTATTGGGCTATACAAGTATAAGTGCGTGTACAGTTCGATTCTCGGATTTTTGTCCTAGGATTGCGAAATGTTCTGGGGGAAGGAGAATGACTCATGAAACGAAAATAAACCAAGAAAAGAATACAGAATATTCGAAAAAATGATGCTCAAGTTTCAGCAAGTTTTGCATTTACCTGCGGAATTTGTCTCAAAATGAAGACATGCTTTGTGAAATAGAAAATTAAGCTGGAAAATCAATACATTTCAAGAATTCGAGAGCTTAAAATCTCACGAATTAATTACATTATTGTATGCAAATACTGTATATTCTATACCTACAATTCCATGCTATCAACTTTCTGAAAAGAGAACAGCACACAGCACGAACGTTCAAAACGTTTGTCGATGATTTTTGGTAACTGCTGCTATCTGTAACAGATTACTATACAGTACTTGTTTTTAAATTATTACCAGAGGGAAACTGCGTCTTGAATCGTAAAATTAACAAAAAAAGATTCAGATATTTTATGTATGGGATACAGGTTCCAACGATTTTGCTAGTAATTGTGACATCATGTGACGATTACCTGCACATGTAACCATATAGATAAAGGCTACTTCCGAGTTCTGACAAATAAAATGTTCTCTCGAATTTGACAAACAATGTTCTCTCGAATTTGACAAAAAATGTTCTCTCGAATTTGATAAAAAATGTTCTCTCGAATTTGACAAAAAATGTTATTTCCTCAAGTTGATTTTGTAATCATCTGACGGCACCCAGCACGAACGACCGAATCGCCATAGAGTCACACACGTGCTGCTGAGCCACAACATGTCTGACCCCTTTTACCCCAAAAGATGCATGCAGGAATATGGTATGTGTAGCACATACCTTCGCAACGGGAGAGACTCGTATTTACATGCTGACCGGCGAGACTGACGCGCCTTATTTTATCTTCGTTCCATGCCGCGCAGCCGATACCCTCTGCTGGATGTTATCCTATTCTAGACTCCCTCCTCATCCCTGAAATGTGTCGATTACAGCAGCCGCGTGCTGCTGCAGGACTCCCGAAGTGTCCCGAGGCCTCAACACTGAACCCATCACCCAGGTTCTCGTAGTGGCTTAGTGCCCACGTTTCGCGACAGCAGGACATCGCAGTGCGCCGTGCAGACCCACAGCAGCAATGAGTATGTGTGTCTATGTTTGTAGAGAGGGTTTGTTCCCAAGCTTCTAGACTTTTTGAAATACAATAGATACAACAGAGTTTCAACATAATACTTTTTTTGTGTTTACTGGCATAGACCCATCATTTGGAAAAACTTCAGTGCTGTTCAACATTCTCTCCATACTGATTTCAACGCGTTTTTCCGTGCAATATAAATCCAACAATGAAAACCATGTCAAAAATCGGCGGAGAGAATGTTGAACAGCACTGAAGTTTTGCCAAATGATGGCTCCGCTGATTGCAATGCATTTTTTGATGCAATATAAATCAAACAATCAAAACCATGTCAAAAATCGGCGGAGAGAATTTTGAATAGCTCTGAAGTTTTGCAACTGATGGGGCTAAGCAAGTTAAAAATATGTTTGGAATTGTTGAAACTCTGTATTGGATCCATTTCAAAAAGTCTCAAAACTTATGAACCAACCCTCGTATGTGCTGGGGGGTCACCAAGAAAAGGAGCGAAGTTGCGCATTTATGTAAGAGCATGAGCTGCTGCAAGCAGACGCTAACTGGCGCCTGTTGACATTAAACAGTTGCTGATGGTGACAACGCGGCGTCGCATCCCCGAAAACACGCATATCAAGGGTCGATTAAAAAGTATATCTAAACTTCGATGAATCTCTCTCGGAATGCAAAGGCCAAGGAATTTCCGGTATTCTCACGTTATATTGGGAAAAGCGTCGTTTTGGACGACTCACAAATACAAGGGTTGTCCCAGTTGAATACGACCTCTCATATTTTTCGAGTGGAAGTGTGATGGTAAAAAAAAAAAATCATACAGCACATTAAAATATTATGTTCTATGGTTCTCGATTTTTCAGCTATATATACGTTTTATTTTCCACTCATAACTTCAACCATTTTATCAATGTAAAAACGATAATTGGTGGAAAAAAAACGGTTTTTTTTAGCTGGCATGGCAAACTTTTAGCTACCTGATAAAATAAGATGAGTGGACAAATCTGGCTGTGACTAGAATGTTTTCATTTAACATCATGCAGTTAAAATATTGAAAAATGTTCTTTAAAAAGCAAAAAAAAAAAAAACTCGGAGCCTTAGAACATCATGTGGTATGTCATAATTTTTTTCTTTTTTTAAATCACACCTTCTCTAAATCCGTCAGAGGTATCATCCACCGCCTGGGACAACTCTGTATGTTGCCAATAAAAATGGTCATTACCAACTTACAGTAATGTATATACAATATAGTGTATTGTGTAAAAACGATGAAATAAAAAAGCAGGGTTCCACTTTCGTTCACCGACTCCATCACCCGCACGGAGTAAGCGGGGTTTAAGCATGACGAGTTAAGAAAAAATTGGCAAGCATGAGAAAATGAATTATACTTCATCAGGTTGAAATAGGAGGGGTTACATGTTTCCGCGCAGACCAGTTTTGGCGGGGACGTAGAATGATCTGAAAACCAGGGATTTTTAAAAGCTCTTTTTTTCATCTTTGCTAGTCCCAAGAGGCTATAGGCAGCCACCTTCTGAATGTAGTCACCACCAATTTGTACAAACTTATCAGCCCTTTTTGATCCATGTGTTATACAGGCCTTGACAACATGTTCAGTACTTGAATTTTGAAGCTTCCACAGGACAGCAGCACTGATCCGCGCGGAACGGTGTACCCCTCATAGTGAGTTGATAAACCATAGAACAAAGGCAACTGCTGCTGGGCTCTGGGTCGTCATGGATGAAAACCATATGCATCCACTGGCTTCAGGTTAGAAAAGAAATGAGCTACTTTATTCCTATTTTTCACCCTAGATCAAGGACAAAAAACCTGAAGACTCATTTCAATGTACAACCTAACACCCAGACAAAACCCGAATTGAAGACCCTATTTTTATCCTATTTTCAAGACCCAATTTTATCATCTAACGAAATTCTACATTAGTGCTCCGTTTATATCATCCAATAATAAAGCGTCAATGATTGATATAAGTGATATGTTGCACAGATTTTGTACATACAGCACTAGAATATCGTTTTCAGTTGAAAACTCAACCGGACAAACAGCTGCATGTCCACCTTCTCTTTATTCTGCTCTGTATACATTTTTTAAATGATTTCCTTTGCGATACGAACCACACCCTTTGTGCTGCATGCGGTATTTTGATTATTTTCAAATATTTCGCTGTAAACGCATATAAAGTGACGTACACTTTACTGATCTTTCATTGATTTATTTTTTTTGGTCCCATATATTGGGTTTTCTCTTGATGTTATGAGGGTACTCAGCAACTAATTTATTTCTGGGCTCCTGAATTTCGTTGCAGGGAGAGTCCACAAGAAATCGTGGTAGAACACGCAGCAGTTCAACAGAAAATTCAGAAATTAAGAAAAAAAGAACCGCGCTTTTATTTCCCCTCTCATCACAACGCGGGGCACGTCGATCTTCCAAATCGCAGCGAGAAGAAATAAACTTTCGACGGAAAAAATTCACAGCGTATAATTGGTTCACTAGGCTTTCATCTGTTTTTACGCCCACTTATGTGTAGCTGTCGATAGAAACCTGATGCTCGGTTTTGTCGGCGACCAGCAGATCGTCCAGAATCCGAACCGGAATTGGGACTATCTTCGGCAGAGCTAGGTCTCTGAAAATCATCTACGATAACACCATCCGCTTCTGCGGCTAACCTGGGAATCTTAGGGTTCTCAGATGAAATTCCGCTTCCACCTTGAACATATGTAATACAGAACATCAGAAAAATTGATCTCATCGTTTTCGACATCACATTCATCAAGGAAGGAGTGAACATATGTAAAAAATGTTGCATTTTTTACCGCACTTGTCGGAACGAAGTACGGCAGTGTATTTTTGTACACATTTTTCCGTTCATATTTTGCATTAGAAAACCTAAAACCATGCACCAATAATAACAATTAGCATGGATTCGCTACAGTTAAAGTTACGGAGACATTGAACGTGATTTTCATCACCTTAAATCGCCTCATCTAACCTGCAGTTTCTTTTTCTATAGATGTCCGTGGTCGTTTTCGGTTTTTCTGGTTGGGCCGGGCGACAAACTCTCCGTACTCGTCACGAGTCAATGAAATTGACTGAACCTTCTTCGAAATTCGATTCACTCTGACGTCGGTTTTCTGTATTTTGTCAGCGGATCTCTTCGGATTCGGTCTCGGATTCGAGGAGTCGACTTCACAGAAACGGAAGTGTAGGTCAAGGATTCTGTAAAAAAAAAATCACCAAAATACTCACCACCAGCATCTAGCTTATCGGTCGGTACGACATTCGTTGGAGCGACTGATGCCACATCCTGAGCCGATGTTTTCGAGATAGACTTTCGATATGTACTGGAAGTTTTCCTTGGTTTCACCACCTTCTTCGGCTCGGCGTTTGGCTTCAATGACACCTTTTGCGCACCTGAGATATAAAAATTCCAGAAATGTGATGCAAGGTCTACATTACGGCAGCAATGTCTCACGTTTAGCCGTTTTCGGAGCAAATCCTGAAGCGAGTGCTTCTTGCAGGCCATCCTCCAAGGCCTAAAAAGAGATAGAAGAAAAAGGTTTGCATCTAGTATACGTTACTTAATTGAACAGCGTTCAAAATCATACAGCATCTGGATCGAAGCTTCGAACTCCCCAATCCGTTGATAATCTGCCACGTTTTTTCTTATCCAGCTTTTGCTCTTCCATCGCCCTTCTTTCCTCTTGTTTTGCGTTGACTGCACGAAGAAAATTTATTTTTCACAATCCACTATCACTTCTACAATATTTTATCCTTGAATAGAAGATATCCGATCTAAAGACATCCAACAAATTTGGAAAGCCAAGCTTACATTTTTCTTCCATCTCCGCATCATCGAGCAGAATGGATACGACTTCCTGAGGTCGCAAAGCATCAGCTCGAAACGAACCCCCGCTGATGACCATCCGATGAATCTAAAAACACATGCATTGAAAAATGAGTTCAGTTTAACTGTCCGAATTCGGTCATTTTGTACAAATTGGTTATCAATTAACGAACCTCGCTCTTTTCCTGGGCACGCTGAAGGATTCGTTCCTCAATTGAATCCTTACAAATCAATCTGTAAACAGTGACTTGTTTGGTTTGCCCCAACCGATGAGCTCGATCCATCGCTTGCTGATCGACTGTCGGGTTCCAATCACTGTCATAAAATATCACCTGCGATACAACGTGGTGAAATGGTCATCAACCGCAGCAGATCAACTGTAAATAAAACTCACCGTGTCCGCAGCAGTTAAATTTATGCCCAATCCTCCAGCTCGAGTGCTCAGCAGAAATGCAAAAATCTCCGATCTAAAACGACACCAAAAAATCAGAAAAAAGCATTTTTTGTCATAAGAGTACCGGTGGTCATCAATATTTTTGCGTTACCTCGCTTGAAATCCTGCCACCATGTCTCGCCTGTCGGCAATTTTCGACGAACCATCGAGCCTAACGTAACTATGACGTCGATAACACATGTACTCCTAGAATGCAGCACACATTAATTCCGACCTCTTTCAAAGCAAAAGGGGGAAATAGGAAAAAAATACCTCGAGGATGTCAATCATTCGTGTCATTTGCGAATAAATCAAAACGCGATGCCCTTCGTCCCTAAGTCGATTGAGCAGCAAGTCTAAAGCCTGCATCTTCCCTGAATCGCTGATGAGTGTTTCGACATCTGTGGATCAAACGATGTACTCGGTTCTATATTTCTCTCAAAAACAAATATTAAAGAACTAAGTTTCAAATTTCTTGCCTCATCGTCAGATTACTGTATTACGGAAAACGCCGCTTTACTCAGCATGGAGTAGGGCTGGTCTGGATGAATTCGAAAATTTCAACATGCACAAGCAGGCTAATTCCTTCGATATAAAAGACAGAAGTTCACGATAGAAGCTCGGAAAACTATCTTTCAGCTTAGCCAAACCAGGTACCGGTTAAAATTCATTCAGTCGAATCTAAGCTCGGTTACTTCTCGAGGCTTCCGTCTACACTTCTTTCTCTTCGAAGCAGTCAACTGGTAAGCAAAGCTGATCGCCGACAGCGTATTCAAGGACTAACCAGGAAATGTAATCTGATGACAGGCCTTCCTGATTGCAGGAATGGCTTCGACTCCTCCAACTGGCACGCAGTCAGTGAACCCTGGATATGACTTCATTAAAATACGTTCGTGATAACGACCGTACAAGACGGTGGCTACTCCGTCAGTATCATCCACTAGCTTCTGCCAATTTAGACTGGTTTCGCGCCACATATCCGCAACCAAGTGCCAGCAGCTGCACCACAATGTAGAACCACAGCTCATAACCTGGCGATTAAAAAATTTAACTCATGCTTCTGCTTGATAAAAGGCCGCAAAAAAAGGCCAACAATCTTCAAGCTTCCTACAGATTTTCAAGGTGAGAAAAAAGTGGTGCCTCAGAATTTCTTGCGTAGTTACCTTCATGCAAGAAAAAAAAACTTTAAAATTCATAAGATCAATTCACAAGATGTGATCCTCACCGAAAAATAATTCAAAGATTCAAATTGACGAATGGCAAGAACACTTATCTGGATAATCGAACGAAAAATGCGGACACTTACCTTTGGAACCACTTCGGAAAACAGAAACGAAGGCAACTCGCTTAGAACATTTTCGTATACATGCACTTCGGATTCCTCTCCTTCGGGAGCACAACAACTCTTCCGTTCCGTAGTTTCATCCAAACATTCATTTCCTGCCTGAGGAACGATGGGGAATAACATTAAGCATGTACCACAACCAAAACAAAAGAAAGAAAATCTACTCGCTTACTTTCGATCGCTTCCGTTGGAGCCGGATTCTTCTGTGCTCCTCCGTTTCCAGGACATGGTTGAACTTGTGCGGTAAATAAGCGTACAACGGGCGACATGGCGTGACGAACACAAGCGGCATCACATTTGTGTTTTCGGAAAAATTCTGCACATATTTCGATCGACAGACGTGCAGGAATTCCCTAAAAATCATTGAAAAAATAAATCACTATAATTTTTTATATGTTCCACAGAAGTTTTCTTGACAGCCCAACAAGTCCCGTAACTTTCATCATGAATGACCTAACATACATCCACAATTGATAGGGCACTGAGCTCACGTCCAAGACACTTTAAAAACTCGAGGAAACACGAAGGTACACCAATAAATAGAAGCGCATCAGTTGGATACGTACCACGGTTTTTCGATCGCATCATCACTTCCCACAGGATGGAACATTTGGTCTAGTTGACGCAAAGAGGCGCGTTCAATACTGTCAATAGCGTGTTGCCATCGATTTCGACAGCTTTTGGAACCCACGAACAGGCGTAAAAGATCGCCAAGGCTCATTCCGAACAGATGGCAGAACGACAACATCGACGATTCTGAAAAAAAAAACATCAAGAATATTTTTGTCAGTATAAGATTAGTTCTGGACGAAGAAGAGAAACATTTCGAGAAAATCCTTACCATTCATACTTTCCGACTGAGCATGGTATGGATCAAAAACTGGAAATAAACGCAACGCGGTTAAACAACGCGAAGAGTGAAGAACTCTTGCGCTGTGATAGATCTTCTTCGGTATACGCAGCTGAACTCTCCTGAGAACTAGGGATGACTTCGCATGATTCCTTTCGAACAGGGAGGGATGATTGCAAACCTGTTTGAGAAAAGCATCCATGAGCAAAATACAATGCAAATCTGAATCAAAATGACTTAAACCTTTCGAAACTGCATCACAAGATTCATTAGATTGGTTGTAATTGGAGCAGCTCCATCCCCCTGAACACATCCTCGCACAAGATCATCAACACTGATCTTACGCTTCATCGCCTGATACAGTAGTCTTTGTTTGCGGGTTAATGAGCAATGTATCATTACTTCGACTTTTTCAGAGAACTCATTTTCCACATCCTTCTTCGTTCGACGCAACATGAAAGGCTTCATGATCATGTGGAGGCGGCTCAAGTGCTCTGTTAAAAGCCAAAATGAGAACAATATCAAAGGACGTACAACAGAAACAAAGAAATGGACCTTTCCTTATGCTTTAGTAAATTGAGAACTTCAGACGAAGTTCACATACGGTACGAATTTGTGAAGAGTATTAATTCAACCCACTTGAATCCATGGTCGTCCGATTTTCTGCATGCCCCTCAACGTCTTTGGAAAACCACTCGTTGAACTCAGCGTGGGAGTCAAAGAGGGTCGGCATGATGAAATGAAGTAATGCCCACAATTCGGCCATAGAATTTTGAATTGGCGTGCCACTAAGCAGGAGACGATTTCGACATTGGAAACCCAACAGGGTTTTCCATCGCTGACTGTTGGAAAAAAGTTATCGTCTTACGAAAGAGCAATCTATCGAGCAGAGCGACACGCATACCCTTTGTAAAGAATGAATGGTTTAACAAGGTTGAGTACACAAGAAACGTTTCTTCGTCTTGGTTTTACGAAGTTACATTTCTGGCATATTACATTCTTCATGAATTAACCCATAAAATAATCTCACCTGTTCGTGCTTTTGATGGCTTGCGCTTCATCCAAGATCATATACTGCCACTGGAGCTTCTGGAAATACTTGAAATCGGACACTACCAGCTGGTATGAAGTGATCATCACGTGAAACAGCGAGTCTTTGGTAGATAAATTTCCCTGCGACCAGAACTGCCGCAAGATTTTTCTTTCACCTGGCGATCCCCAGTAAGGAACCACACGGAAACTCGGCACGAACCGGGACGCCTCTTGCTCCCAGTTATGCAGGGTAGATGCGGGAGCCACAATGAGGAAGGGGCCCCAGACATCTGTTACGAAATGCAGTCAAGAATTGCATTCACCAATTCGGGTCAATTTGAAAAACCAACCATATCTTTCTGCGATGTGCGCCAAAAATCCCAATGCTTGCACGGTCTTACCCAAACCCATCTCATCGGCCAGAATCCCGCTGATACCCTGCCAAGAAAGATTTGCATGGAGAACATTAGGAGGAATGTTTCCGTGATGAGAAGAAAAGGACATTTCCGATAAAATGGACGCTTCGGTACAGAACTTGAATTTCTTTTCAAATTCTATTAGGTCGTCAGGGTCAGAATTCTCAGAAACATTGAATCCAACGACGAATTGGTTTAGTTAAATACTGTACATTACCTAATCAAGGGAAAAACATTTCATAAAACATTACATCTCATACAAATGTCGAGGTACCTTTGAACTTTGTTTTATAAAACCTGAACTGAGTAATAATTCTACTTTTGCAGAATTATATCAGGTCCATTGAAAATCCCAAAATACAGCATTGGGCATTTTCAAGAACAGAGCACGATACACGGTTTGAAAGTGCATTTAGGGCAAGGTATATAGGTTTGAAAGTGCATTTAGGGCAAGGTATATATGCGAGGTTTTTCAAAAGTTTTTAAACGTACATGTTGTGGACAATAGTATGGGATTCCTAAGTCAAGTTCGAGAACTCCTGAAAGTAATTGCATGCTCGTAATTCATAGGACAATCATAGGACGAATGCAGATGCAAAAAGAGTTAGAAAGTAACGAGCCATGATGCTTCCAGGACAAGTTTTTACACACAGTACACTCGTACTGCGTAGAGACAATTTGAAGCCTTGTGCAAGAACGAGGAGATGCGAAATATACACGCTCAAAAATTCTCTAGATACACACCTGACTGTATAAGTTCGCTAGCCAGCTGATACCTTTCAGCTGATATTCCTTTAAGCTACCGCAGAATATTGATGCTTGAGGGCAATCTTCAGAGTAATTTGCTCCCGCTTCAGTCAACGACGAGGAACCAATGCGAGACTTCTGCAATTCCAGGGCATGCGTAACATTTGAGACAGCTTGTCGTTTTGCCTCGTCAGCGTCGTAATCGTCCTCTTGGAGGCGAACAGAATTATCATCCAGTTCACGAAGTATGCTTTCCCCATCTTCAGCAGATGCACCGCTGAGTTTCCGACTCAAGAAATGAGCATATAACTCCGTTTGTGTAATGAGAAAGTTCAGTTTACGCTGCTGACGCTTTGCCTTAGAAAAGAATAAAATAAATCAATGAAACACGATTGCTAGTAAGCATTCAAAGACAATACCTCGAGCAATTCCATGTCTCGCTGGCGTTGTTCTTCTATTTCCTTCTCAACTTTTCTTCGAAGTTCCCTTTCAACTTTCTCGTGCTTCTTCCAGAATACCAACATTTCTTTGGTCAACCGTTTGCACAATGACATCACAGAATTTGGCGGTCTCTGGAACTAAATGAGAATATCATATTCCATTTGTTATTTACTGCAAGATATGAATGATTAAAAAAAGTAACAAAAAAACTCACGGTCATAACTTCCTGTCTACGATACTTCAGGCACATCTGAGCCATCTTCTTAGATTGTTGCAAACCGTCCCGTCGAATATTCATCCTGATTTTGTAACCCTGCCTCGAATCATTTAGCGATAGATTAGCGAGATGAAACGAGACAACGTGAAGTATTCTACTGATTACATTACCTTATGTATATCTTTCTTCACAAGAAGTAACCATTGCTTCTTGCGTCTAGCAATGGCTTCTTCGAGTTCTTTTTGCTCACGCGATTTCCCTCTCCGCTTCCGTTGGCCATCTATTTTTCTCTCACGAGCCTGCGTTTTTGTCACTGGAGCAAGTTCAGGAGAAGTGACAGGCGACGCTGTCTTAAGTTTTGCGGTCATCTCGGAACGTGCAGACCTTGCAGGTTTTTCTTTCCTGCTATTCGCCTCTGCGTGCGATTTTCTGTTAACGGAACCAGCCATAACGGATACTGCTTGAACACCTGGTAGCTTCATGCCAATAGAACGCGAAAGATTGGCATGGTATTCATCTCCTTTCCTCAGTACAGTCGCACAATAATACATGAACTTGCTTTTCTGAAATTCACAGAAGACGCGACGGATTATTATACATCACTTATAGAGTAAAACACAATGAACATGATACCTCCGGTTCTTGAGACCATTCAATCTTGAAGCGACGTTCGCGAACATGATGCCTGAACATGGACTGAAATTCATCCTCCGTAATAGGTTCTTCTTCATCTTCCCCAAGATCTTCATCGGAACTTATGTCAAGCAGAAAGTCTTTGATCCATTTCCGATCGTCAGCAAGACCAGAAAAATTGTAGAATCGCTTCCGCATTTCAATCTTCTCTGCAATCCGGAAAAATTGAGAGGGATTCCCGAAGACCGCTGAAGCAAAACTCACCTTGTCGAACTTCTACTGCGATTCTCTGCGAACGCTCACCAACGGTTATGTCACTGGCAAGCTCCACGTCATCGTCACTTGAAGATGATTCTTCATCACTGCGTGGCAGATCCATGAAACCAAGTAAAGTTAACAAGTTGATGCATCACAGAAGGAAGCTCAAGGTTTCCAATTCAATCCAACAAGAACTCAATGAAAGTCAGGATCGAATCACAATCTCAAGCAATCAAAAATTGAGTTCATCTTCGAGACTAACCTCGGCAATTCCTTGAAAACGGCTTCCATTTGGTCTAGAAGCGGATCCAATCGTACCGCACGCTCCAAACGTTGAAACTGCAACGGCAATGCCGTGTCTGAATCCGCGTAAGACTTGAACAGACTGCGTAACCCGCCCCCAGGTCCGAACGATGATTCGGAATCCATCAGCTATCTTTATCCCGTGTCAACATCATTTCTGAAGTTAGAGCCTGGAATGGGCAACAAGTAACCGAGCACAATATTTGAAATAATTAAGATACAATACAGGCTAAAATAAGGGCGTCGTTCAGAAAAAAGAATGTTCTACTTCATCTGCCTCGTCGATTTTCACTAAAAAGGCACAAACGCGAGGAATCATTCGGCTTGAAAGACCTGAAAGGAATTTTCAAACACGTGTGAGAGTCTCACACTCGCACAACTATCTTCAACTAAGATCGCAAGCAGATAATCATTCACTTACAATTCGAGATTTTCCTCGGTCCAGAACGCACGATGTTCGGGTTCTCAGGCGCGCCCGCTGCCTTCCTACTCCCTCTCCGCCGGCTTGAGGGAAATGAAAGCATCATCGCGAATGGTTCACCGCTCGTTCCGCGATTTTGCGGATGTACAGGAGTAGAAAACATATTCAAGATCTCAGCGGATCATAGGTCGCAAAAAATTTACTTCTCAAGGATCACAGCATATAGCGCACAGCCCTGAAATAAAGTAGGCTGCTTACTTAAGTCAATGCGCAGTCTCAGGGCTCACAACTTGATCCAAAACACACGGCTGCGACTGCCCTGAACTGCTGTTAAATTTGCCCACATAACTTCCGTTCGTATCTGTAACTTTTCCCCTCTGACCAATGCAACTTTCAATCGGCAGGATTCTGACAATGAGCGCAGCAGTGCAATTTATCTTCGACTATTAATCGGTGCAAGTTCGTTGTGGAGAAGTTCGATTGGTGCTAGTGATTGAAGAAGTGACGTGTGCAGTGATTTTGCGTGCTTTAGCTGGTCGTACAGGAACGTCCGATAAAGTAATGTAAAGCAATCGTACCGCATGTTTGAGTTCTGTTACGATCCCGTCGAACTGTGTCATTTTTATTCGTTTTTTTTTTTTTACCAGAGACTTGGTTCATGTCATGCTCGGACATCCTTGTTGGAGCATTCGCGTGTATTGATGTATCCCGATAAGTTTTATAACGTGTGTGCGCGTTCGTGATGCGCAACGTCGAAATTTTGCGAACTGCATCCATGGTTGTGGTCATGGCCTTGATTTTCGCTTATCTTCGGAAGCCTCTCGTCGAACATCACGAAATCAACGTCCGTAGTCTGCCGTTGAAGAAATTGGCTTCGGACAACCTGATACACTCTTCTGTTGTTTGCGTTCCGAGTGCTGTTGGAAAACAATGCTCATACCGTAATTTGCTCTTCTTCATAGAAGAGCATGTTTTCGTTTTCGTTTTTGGTGAAAATTCTCGATTGCTTGGTATAACCCTCGAAGAGCTTGGTGGTTTCAACGGCGTGCCCGTGCTTGATCATCGAAGCGAACTAATGCGAGTTGCAGTATGTTTTGCTGAGGACTTGCAGTTTCTTTTGCCGAATTATGTTTTTAGTACGCCCGAAAATCCGTTAGTTTTCTTTCATCGATTCAAACCAGATAATTTGATGCACGTTTTACATGACGACGTGTTCCCTCTGATGGCTACGCAGCAATTCTGGTGCGAGCTTTCCGAGTCGAAATGTCCTAGTGTTTTTATCATCATTTGCGATTCCAAAGGTTCTAACAAGTATGATATCATTTACGAGGCCACCACCGAAGGTCGTGCGATTATCTGGAATGATTTCTTGCATGAAATCGCGCAGTACGAATCACAACCTATGGTTCTTTCGATTCCGCGGACATTCTTAGGCTTGAGTACGTCAACGTTATGGTATCAGTACGGTTTCGGAAAGCCTCAGGGAGCCGTATGGAATTTTTCGCCCAATTTAGGAATCATACTAAGAAATTATTCAGAAACAATAACGAGAAGAGCGTGTAAGTTAGCCCCTCACAGATGTTTTTGTGAGCATGTGTCGAACTCCGCTAAATCGCACATTGTAGCCCTTATTAATCGCACGAGGAATCGTCGAATTTTGAATTATGACGAATTGGTTGGCGCTGAAGGATGGCACTTCTGGGTTCTTGATCCGCAAAAAGACATCCTAGAATTTGTATCCTGCATAAAAATTGCTGATGTGGTTGTGGGGATGCATGGAGGGGATCTCGCATCGATGCTCTTCATGAAGCCCGGAGCGAGCATTTTAGAGCTTTTTCCCTTTGAAATTGATCCTGGTGCCGTAACGCCGTACAAAACTTTGAGCTCGTTTCGTGGTATCCCCATAAATTATTTCTGCTGGCAAAATAATCACTCGAGCAATTCTTACCCGATTCCTGATGCTGATCCCATGTTCGGGGGTATTTCTCATTTTTCCGAAAGTATGCAAAATGACATTCTTACCCGAGGTGTAATTACCGATGTGTATTGCTGTGATGAGCCAAGTTTTTTGTACCGTTTGTATTCTGATACCGTTGTGGATTTTTTCGAATTTTTATCGGTTCTCCATGAGATTTCGCTTTCCGGACAGTCATCGATTCTATACGCTGAAAGATCTGAATTGTTTCAGGCAACTTTTGTGAGGGTTAAATCTTGTCATTTTTTTTCGACTCATTTAAAACTTGATTGCATTTTTCCGCGAGGAAGTTCATTACTCGCCGAGCGTCTCAATTATAGTGGTCTCAGTTTTCGAATAGATTTTTCATGTTCATTGAATGGGCAGAAAGTGATTGTTTCCGGATCTTTCGATAGTTGTTCTGAAAAAATTAAAATACCTTGTAACGATTTCGAAGGTGATATCTGGATTACCCCTCGTGCTTTCGACAAATTTTCGCAGTCTCAGATTTTTGGAACAGAATATCATGTGCATTGCGGGTCTTGAAATATTTTGCTTTTGATTTCCTTTTCATTGTTGCTTCTTGTGTCATTTTTTCTACTAGATTTCGGGTTAAAATGCCGAAAGCCGAGAAAGGAACACCGAAGTACATCGCCAATAAAATAAAAGCGAAGGGGTTGCAGAAGTTGAGATGGTATTGTCAGATGTGTCAGAAACAGTGTCGCGATGAAAACGGATTCAAGTGTCATACCTCGTCGGAATCACATCAGCGTCAACTACTGCTGTTCGCAGATAACCCACACAAATACTTGGATTCTTTTTCAAAGGAATTCGAAGAATCCTACATGCAACTGGTCAGGCGTTGTTACGGGACCAAACGAGTTAACGCAAACCAGGTGTATCAGGAGCTGATCAAGGATAGAAGTCATATTCACATGAACGCAACCGTATGGGTTACGCTCACAGGCTTCGTGAAGCACCTCGGCAGATGTGGGAAAGTTATTGCCGACCAAACGGAGAAGGGGTGGTTTATAACCTACATAGACAGGTATATATAGCTCATCTCTTCTTGTGAACCTTTGGTTGAAAAAGTGACTGAAGTCTCAAAATATTTGTTCAGCTGAACCAATTTCTTATTGATGATCCATGCACTAACGGTTTTCAAATTTCACCCGTAGAGATCCTGATACAATTGCAAGGCAAGAAGCCCTAGCAAAGAAGAAAAAGATGGAGAAAGATGACGAGGAACGATTACAGGAGTTCATTGACAGACAGGTAACCTCCCCACTCATTTTCGACTGAATTATGGTTTTCCTAGATTTGACGGTTCCTGTTTTCTTTAGGTGGAACTTGGTAAGAAGGAAGAAGAAGATTTAGCCAACGAAGAGAAGTTCACTGAATTAGTACGACCTCATGACGATGAAACTCCCATCAAACTCGAGTTGAAGCTCTCGGAAAAGGCTCTCAAACGATCGGCTCTCGTGAAAAATGAAGACAATGCTGGTCCATCGTCTCAGTCAGCAGCGAAAATGACGAAATTAGAAGCCGCCACCAGAACAGATGTGAAAGATAAGAAAAAATGGAAGGCCGACCAAAAGCCAAATGTTCTTGCTGAAATGATGAAAGAGAACGAGGAGAGAAAAGAGAAGATCAATAGGAAAGATCAGTGGATAACGGAAGGAATTGTGGTCAAAGTGGTTACCAAGTCGTTGGGTGATCAGTTTTACCGAAAGAAAGGGGTCATAATTCAAGTTGGAAATAAGAAAAATGCTGATTTCCCCGATCCATATTGTGCTATAGTCAAAATGAACGATACTGGTGCACGCATAAAATTGGACCAGGCTCATCTTGAAACTGTTATACCAGCGACCGGTAAGACACGAAGACTTCAACGTTATTGTTCAGGTTTATCAAGAGTTTTTTTCCAGGTCGTATTGTGAAAATTGTGAATGGTTCCTACCGTGGAGAAGAAGCTATCCTCCTTTCGATTCATGAGAAACTTTTCAGTACATCCTTGGAAATCAAGGGAGTATGTTTCCGTAATTAGAGTTAAATGTGAAGTGTGAGTAAAAAATTATTTCTTTGCCAGGGAGTTTACCGCGGAAAGAAATTGGATCATATTCCCTATGAGGATGTATGCAAGAAGCACGACGCTTGATCTCAGAAAACGTCCGACGCAATTTCAGTAATGGAACTAAATGAAATATTTTTATGTTTTCACGAATATGCTTTTTTTCCACATCACAATCGCTATCAGGATGTCGCATTGTTTTGGTACATTTTGCAGAGCTTTTCGCAGTCGTCCGCGGATAGTGAGATTCGTTGGCCCATGATGTGTTTGCCCTCGACGAATGATCTCGTTGTCAGTGTCGGCGTGCCGGGACGAAGTGCGAACGCATCCTTCGTATAATGCATGATACTTGAAAAGTCGTAAGCACTGGCAGGTTTGTGTGACCTGCGGTAGAAGTTTCTTCGTGCCTTCGGTTGAATATTGTTCCAGTGGACTTCGACGTACTCATCGCGATCTTCTCGGGTATGCTCATGTATAAGTCCCAAGCAGTGCCCGAGCTCGTGCAAAATGAGTTGGGCTAGTGCAGATGCTGTACTTTTTTTATTGACCATGAGAACCTTATTCGCTGGAAATCAATAGTGACAGTGACTGTGAGCATTTAATTTGTTGTATGGCCCTCGCCAAGGCGTCCGAACTTCTCCCAACCATGGACGGAGTCGGAACGCGTGTCATCCGTGGTCCACACTGGAAATGGGGCAAACAGGACGGCGGAGAAGGTCACGTCGGCACTGTCCGAACGGTTGAAAGCCCCGAAGAAGTAGTCGTTGTCTGGGACAACGGCACACCAGCAAACTACCGCTGCTCGGGCTTTTACGATCTACGCGTTTACGACTCCGCTCCTTCCGGCGTCAAGCACGAAGGCTCCATTTGCGACGGTTGCCGTCAGTCGCCCATCTACGGCATCCGATGGAAGTGCACCGACTGCGCCAATTATGACCTATGTTCCATGTGCTACCACGGTGACAAACACGCATTGCGTCATCGATTCTGTCGGGTCTCAATCTCCGGAGAAAAGACCCCTGTGGAGTGTCGCCGCAAATCAAAAAAGATTGCCGTTCGGGGCTTGTTTCCCGGTGCTAGGGTCATTCGTGGTGTAGACTGGTGGTGGGACAATCAAGACGGCGGCCCTGGGAGAAGAGGAAAGGTGACAGAGATCCAAGACTGGAGCGCCGCATCTCCACGATCCGCAGCGTATGTGCTCTGGGATTCTGGAACGAAGAATCTTTATCGCGTTGGTTTCGAAGGCATGGCTGACCTGAAAGTCGTTAGTGACGCGAAAGGAGGATACGTTTATCGAGACCATTTACCGCTACTCGGTGAGGAAGCAAATTCCCGTGTGTCGTCCCATGGATTCCAGATTGGCGACAGAGTCAACGTGGATCTGGACAGTGAGATCGTGCAGAGTCTGCAACACGGTCATGGAGGCTGGACAGAAACCATGTTCGAATGTCTTGGAAACACTGGCACTGTTGTTGGAATCGATGCCGACGGAGATGTCGTTGTCACTTACCCAAGTGGAAATGGATGGACGCTTAATCCCGCAGCTCTCACGAAAGCAAGGGATGCTGTAGTGTTGGGAGCCGAAGGCGGAATTCCCTGCGAGGTAAGCTCAAGTTTTCAATTCATTTTGTTGTTGTGGTTGATGGATTTTAATGCATTAATTCTAAGGGAATTCAGGCAGGGACTTGAAAATACTGTGTTTGACATGAGGAGTTATTCGAGTCATTAAGGTTCGACTATAAACAAAGGCAGCTTGAATAAATAATTTCTCATGTTGTGTAAGATGTAATTGGTTATGCCGCAATTTTAGATTAAACCTCTTCGAATTTATTTGTGATCTGACGATTTGTCTTATTTTCAGCCCCCGTTCTGTGTTGGAGACTACGTTCAAATATGCACAGATCTGGAGCAAATGAAGCTGCTGCAACGCGGACACGGAGAATGGACGGACGGCATGTTTTCAACATTGGGAAGAATAGGACGTGTGTTGAAAGTGTACGCCGACAACGACTTGAAGATCGAGGTGTGTGGGACTTCGTGGACCTACAACCCGGCAGCCGTGTCTAAAGTTGCATCGGAGAATGGCGAGAAGGTGACAGGACTGTTGAAGAAACTGTTTGAGCCTTCCCCAACTGGAGACATCGTCGAAGACCTGGTGAAGTCGTCGGCCAACGGAGACGCCACAATTGCCTTGGATTGTTTGCAAGCCGGAGCGAATGTGAATGGGTTCCATTCGGGCCACAGTGCGTTGCAAGCCGCGGCCCAGAACGGACACGAAGAGGTGATCAAGCTGTTGCTGGCCCACAAGGCAGATATTGAGTTGGAAGACGTGGATGGTGATCGCGCAGTGCATCATGCTGCGTTTGGAGACGAGCCCTGTGCCCTGGAGTTGCTTGCTCATTCCGGTGCTGATTTGAATGCGAGGAACAAACGAAGACAGACTGCGTTGCACGTGGCGGTTAACAAGGGCCATATTGGAGTCGTCCGAGCCCTGTTGGCCCTCGGAGCGTTGCCGAGTCTGCAGGATATTGAAGGTGTGTTACATACTTAAGAGATCGAAAAATTGAATGTGAATGCTTTTGGGAGGGGGGGGGGGGGTATTCCGGAATCCAATGGGGGCCTTAGGATCCGCAAGAATGGGTTCTTGTATCTTTTTCCTGTTTCGGAACGTCTGCGTGTTGGATCACGTTTCCTCATAAGACTTCAGGGATACTTCTAATTGGTTCTCCTGCATCTCAAAACTTCGGAGAAAGACCCTCAAGAAAATGGGAGGGGGATTTCTAGTTTCTGAGATGCCAAAAACAAATGCAAAAAAAATCACATTATTTCTTGAAATTTGGTTTAAAATTCCGAAACATTTCTTGCAGATCTAAGGGCTGAATTTTTTTATTGTTGAAATTTGAGTGCAAAGAAAGTAAACATGTTATTGTTTTTAGGAGATACTCCACTGCATGACGCGGTTTCAAAGAAGCGCGACGACATCCTTGGAGTACTGCTAGACTACAACGCTGACGTGGCGGTGTGCAACAACAACGGATTCAACGTGCTGCACCACGCTGCCCTGCGAGGCAACCCGTCTGCCATGCGGATCCTGCTGTCCCAGCTGGCCCCAAATCGGGCCTGGATGGTTGATGAGCGGAAGGACGATGGCTACACGGCCCTACACCTCGCTGCACTCAACAACCATTGCGAAGTGGCCGAATTGCTTGTGAAGATTGGCAAGGCGGACATGGATGTGCAAAACGTTAATTTGCAGACGGCGTTGCATTTGGCTGTTGAACGTCAGCACACTCAGATTGTTCGGCTGCTTGTCAGGGAAGGGGCCAGTGTCAATATGGCGGACAAGGACGGGGACACGCCGTTACACGAGGCCCTCAGGCATCACACACTGTCTCAATTGCGTCAGCTGCAGGTCCGTCTTTCTATAGATTATTTTTTCTTTTTCGCGTTTTTAAGAAAATTCGATGGAATGTTTGCAGGACATGCAGTTACAGCAAAACACTTCCAGCGTCGCCTGCAAAAAGTCAGCTGCAAACATCGCCTGTTTCCTGTCGTCGCACGGCGCTGATCTGAAGCAAACGAACAAAAAGAACCAGACAGCTTTGGATTTGTGCCCCGACCCGAACCTGCGTCGAACGCTGATTCAATGCCACCGAGAAGAATCTGCGGGTGGCCATAATAAGACGGCTTTGGCCCAGTCCCCGACGCCTGTCCCGACCCCTGCATTGCCACGCAACAACGAAGTACCATGCACCTCGAACGCCGTCGCGCTCACGAACGTGACCGATAACATACTGGTTTGCACCAACAACACCTCGTCGTCGGACAATAATACGAATCGTCCTGACAACATCAACTCGCCCGAGGAATGCATGGTGTGTTCGGATGCAACGAGGGACGTTGTATTTGGGCCCTGTGGGCACTTGGCTTGCTGCTCTCATTGCGCACCGATCGTCAAAAAGTGTCTGGTGTGCAAGGAGACGGTCAGTTCGAAGACGAAGGTGGAGGACTGCGTCGTTTGCTCGGATAAACCCGCCGCAGTTTTGTTCCGTCCGTGTAATCACATGTGTGCTTGCGAATCGTGCGCTGCACTGATGAAGAAGTGTGTCCAGTGCAGAAGTGTTATTGAAAAGGTACGTTCAATCAATGGTAGAACGATTTCTTAAACAGTGATTCAATATCTCTGAACCGGTTTCGGCTGCTAATTCAAAGAAAAAAATGAAGGTTACAAGTTCATTTATTTTTTGTTTCTTTTTTTCCGGTGATACTGATCAGTATCGCCATTAAAGGTACTACCCGCGAGAAAAGTTGTCTGTGACGTACAACTTTTTCTTTTTGCGCCTTGAAATTGAAAATAATTTTGCCTCCGAATGTGAGACGCATTTCCATTCAATCAATTTATTGGAAATCGGTGTGATTCTGTTGTGTTGTCTCACTTAATTTTTTTTACAATTTAATTTCAAACTTGAATATTTTGAAGCAATCGCATACTTCACTAATGGACCAGGAAATGCTATGAAAAATATGGCACTCTTATTTCAGTAACTTGTGTAGTTTTTTTGTATTCAAGTGATTTCGGGATCGGGATTCCAGACTTCAGATCATGTTTTTAAATGACTTTCCTTGAAGTAAAAAATGTGCTTTCGATTTTTTTTTCAAGCGGACAGTTCACATATAAATTTTACGGGCAGAAATCTTCGTTCAATAATTGTATGTCTTTAAAAATAAGTGGGGATAATGCCTAAATTTCAAGTATAATTCTAGAATCTCGTTGAATTAAAGCCATTGGTATCTGGGAAGCTATCCTTGCATCAAAAAATCGTTATATCGAGGCTCAGAAGAAATGCGTTGCATGGAGGACTTCATTCTCACGATATTCGTTGTATTTTAATACGATTCTGCTAATACAGTACTGCACTCGGAATGGAGCTAGCGTTTTCAGAATGCGTGGTTTTTTGTCAATTAATGGCCGCATTTCCTCTGTAGGTTGTGAGTTTTGCGGAGTGTTGTGGAGGAGGGGTACCGGAAGTGCCTCAAGCAACGAACAAGACGAAACGTGAGACACACAACGCGGATTTCGACAAATTACGACAACAGCTGCAAGACATTAAGGAGCAAACCATGTGTCCCGTGTGTCTCGACCGACTGAAAAACATGATTTTTCTCTGCGGACACGGCGCCTGTCAGATGTGTGGCGACCAAATGTCCGAGTGTCCGATCTGTCGCAAAATCGTCGAAAAACGGATTCTGCTCTACTGATGATCCACGAAGATAAACGGTGCCAAAAGTGTGAATACTTACACCAGTCCTCCTTTTTTGTGACGAATTTCTCGAGTATTATCCTGACAAGTCAGTCCACCCGACGCTTTTGTGGAGATATCGCATTTCAAGTACAGTACTGTATCCTGGTATTTTTATGTATTGACGTTGAGTCAAATTTTATGACACCGTGATTTTCGCTGTTTCTTTTGATGACTAGATTTCTTAATCATGACGAAAGTTGATTAAAGTTCCCGCGTTAAATTGTTCGAAGAGGATGCCAATTTTGTGATTTTTTCGAAGAAACGGGAGTGTTTTTTTTTTTTTTTTTAATTGTGATTGTAAAAGTTTCTGACGAATGTTTTCTCCTGGAGTTCGGTGATCATTTTTTGTGGAATTGTGGAAATCTGACATTATGATTAGAGATTGCCCGTTATTTTCTTTCATCTCCTCATTTCTTGCTTGTGTTTTGAAAAGTTTTCTTAAATTTCAGAAAATGACTCCGAGATGTGTGAAGGTGCTGACGGGCGAAGTGTTGTAGAAAATCTTGATAAATCATTTTGTGAAGCTGACCCAACGAATTTAGAGGATACTGCTTGGACATTGATCAAGGTCGGTTTTCTCGCTGTGGATTTTGAATATGCACTGCAATAAAATTATTCAAATGTTGATCGATTCGCTATAATCTTCGTTTTCACCTTCACAGAAGAGGCTGAAAGAAGAGGAAAATGTGTCTTCTAGAAGCTACTTGTCCTTCGGATCGTCTGCGAAATGGCGACGATATTCAAGTTTTGAACAAGCCGGGCCAGTTTTCGTAAAGAATGGCTGTGAAACGAAATCTCAGAACGGGAAACTAGTCGTTGGATGCGTTGTATCTCATTTCTGTACTTTAATGTGATGTTTGGGTAGGACGTGGTATTGGCTAGTCATTGGTCCGCCTTAAACAATTTTGTTGCATTTTTGTATGCGCGTTTGCGTTTGGTGATTATTTCTGCAAGTTTCGAACGCCATATTTTGGGGGATGATGTATTCTCGTACCGTTTTATATGCTGGGGGCTGAGATGTCCAATCCGGTATCAATTCAGCTTCCGTCTCATGCTGATTTGTGTAGCTTGAAACTTGGTTGCTATATTGTTATTCGACGTGAATCAGACGGTGAAATGATTGATAAGTTTTGACAACCCACTGAATTAACGCTGAATACTTGATCATTTTCAGTTCGAGACTTTATGCGCTTTTGTGGTTGTAAGAGTCTGCTCTAAGGAACATGAGTGATGGGGAAGTGCTGCCCCCTGGATGGGAAAAGCGGGTTAGTCGCTCAACAGGTGAGAAGAGAAGTTCTTTTTAGCAAGATTTTTGGCAGTTGCTTGAAATTTCATGCACTCAAAGAAAAACAGCGTTTTGTTGTATGCCTCCTAAAAATGCTGGTCTGATCATAAAGCAAGTGCCAGGAAACCGACACCTTCTGTAATTTGAACAACATTCTAATGTAGTGTTCCCCAACCTTGGGCTAAGAATAAAAAATTCCATAAAATGTTTGCAGTCCAGCAACTCCAACCAAAGCTTTTATTGCAAAAATCAAGACCCAGTGAAGCAGCTCTAGCAGAATGTCTTCAAAAAGTTTAGAAAGCTGGGCTTCAAGAAAAGGTTGTCAGAATGATAACTTGAAATAATTTATTTCACCAGGTGAATTTTTGTTTGAAGTGTTGATAGGAGTAAATCCAACTCCTATTTTAAATAAGATAATTTCAGCTGCCATGATCTTTCCAAAAATTCAAATAAAAATAAGACTTCATTACAGTAATATAGTTGATAAATTTATTTTGCTGGATAAAATTTTCTGCGGACAGGCAAAAAAAAAATTGTGAACTGGTGCCATTCGACGTTACTCTTCTTATGTGAAATTTAATTTCTCAGCTTTTAGTCATGTAAGACTTGCCTTATTTATCTCTGCTTTGAGAGATTTCTGTTTGTGAATTACGGGATGACAGCGTATGGCGTGCATGCTTCTGTACCAATTTGTTCTGAACTTTTTTCTTATACCAGGCAAAATTATTACCTGAACACTTACACTAAGGATAGTCAGTGGGATGCCCCCACAGAGGCAGCAAAGCCGCCGAGCTCTGAAAAGGTCCAGTGTTCCCATTTGCTGGTGAAGCACAGGGACTCTCGCAGGCCATCGTCCTGGAAAGAAGAAAACATTACGAGGACCAGAGACGAAGCTTTGGAGCTAATCGAAGGTTCTTTGACACATAATGACAATTTTTTCAGGTTCTTCTTGGAGTTGTAAAAGTGGGAAAGTTCGAGATTTGCTTTCTCAAATTTCGATCCCCGAATTTATTGTTTTCCTTGTCCAGTTTGGATTACGTTTCAAACTTAAACCTGAGCTTTATTTTGTGTTGATGAATGGGTTGCATATTTTTGGACCGCCCCGTTATTTCAATAGGATACAATGCTCGCGGATTTTACTTCCTGTAAAATGGCTACGGACTCCGTGACTTGAAGACAGATCTCGAATTTTTTTTATTCAATATTAGAAAACTATGTGTCTTATATTCTTGCTAATGATTCAATCATGCTTTGAATCTGAATGTCTAAGTTTCATGCGTGAATGACAGTATCGTGTGAGGGTCACGAACTTTGGCTCTCATGACATGAACTTAAAGCGGGATTACCTAAATTTTCTTTTGTTTCAACTTCGAATCCGCCTCTAAGTCGATGAAATTATTACAGGCTTCCGTGAGAAGTTGGATGCGGAGTCGGCGACATTCGAGGAATTGGCGTCCGTGCATTCGGATTGTTCTTCTGCCAAACGTGGCGGTGATTTGGGTCCATTCGGACGTGGAGTGAGGGGACGGGGGTGCGGTGGTGTGGAGTACACCACTACTGGTGTAGTACTAGTAGTGCCACTACTGGTCACTACTGCACCACCTTCTTTGCCAGGGAGTTTACCGCGGGAAGAAATTGGATCATATTCCCTATGAGGATGTATGCAAGAAGCACGACGCTTGATCTCAGAAAACGTCCGACGCAATTTCAGTAATGGAACTAAATGATAAATATTTTTATGTTTTCACAAATATGCTTTTTTTCCTCATCACAATCGCTATCAGGATGATTATGCATTGTTTTGGTACATTTTGCAGAGCTTTTCGCAGTCGTCCGCGGATAGTGAGATTCGTTGGCCCATGATGTGTTTGCCCTCGACGAATGATCTCGTTGTTAGTGTCGGCGTGCCGGGACGAAGTGCGAACGCATCCTTCGTATAATGCATGATACTTGAAAAGTCGTAAGCACTGGCAGGTTTGTGTGACCTGCGGTAGAAGTTTCTTCGTGCCTTCGGTTGAATATTGTTCCAGTGGACTTTGACGTACTCATCGCGATCTTCTCGGGTATGCTCATGTATAAGTCCCAAGCAGTGCCCGAGCTCGTGCAAAATATTTTCACAAATATGCTTTTTTTCCTCATCACAATCGCTATCAGGATGATTATGCATTGTTTTGGTACATTTTGCAGAGCTTTTCGCAGTCGTCCGCGGATAGTGAGATTCGTTGGCCCATGATGTGTGTGCCCTCGACGAATGATCTCGTTGTTAGTGTCGGCGTGCCGGGACAAAGTGCGAACGCATCCTTCGTATAATGCATGATACTTGAAAAGTCGTAAGCACTGGCAGGTTTGTGTGACCTGCGGTAGAAGTTTCTTCGTGCCTTCGGTTGAATATTGTTCCAGTGGACTTTGACGTACTCATCGCGATCTTCTCGGGTATGCTCATGTATAAGTCCCAAGCAGTGCCCGAGCTCGTGCAAAATCGAGCCGTGTGAAACATTTTTTCCCGCAATCTTCAAAACCTGGAATTTTTTACTCTTCGATGATCATTATGTATCAAGATGCTAATAGCAGGGACTATTTTAGCTCGCGTGGATATCTCCACGTCATAGGCGATGTATGGTATTCGAGAATCAAGAAAGCTTAATCAAGGGCTTACTTGTTTTCCACCGCAGAATCCCACTTGTGATGATGATAATTCTTTCGTTTGTCCGATCTCTATCTGAACGTAGTCATTGTCCGATTCAGCTCGCGGTTTGAAAATTACTGGGGAAGCTTCTTGTATCTCCTTCATGGCTGCAATGATCATATTGCGTGTTGATGAGTTAATCTCCGATGAAAACTGGAATTTAACGACGCCATCCGGCCAAAGTTTAATCTTCTCTTGTATAATAATCTGAAATCAAATCATAGGACTGATAACTGTACTATCATTTTTTTCTTTCTGAACTGTCTTACATCATGGGAGTTAACTTGAGCAGCTTTCAGTCTACTGGGATTCGAATCCAAATGCCTAACTATCTCGTCACATGTTGAATGAGATGAAATCTTGTTGAAACTTCTGCGTTTTTCATGCGGGTCGTCGCAGAAAGTAATGGTTATTGTTTCGATGTTCATGGTTGGTCATTTCTTCAGCTGGATAGTTAAATACTGTACATAAGATCGGGTCTAATTAATCTGAATCCCTCTCAGAAATTTTGCTTGCCTTGTCCACGAGCCCTCCGTAAAGATGAACAACTGAAGCTGACAGTCCCCTTGAAAATCGTCGTCAGTTGGTATCTATTTTTAGTAATTGATATTTTGTGCAAGTCTACAATAATTCTCTGTTGCATGAATTTAATCGACCGTTGGTCATGGCGTAAATTTCAACAGCGGGCATTATGCGTTCTTCAGTACTGTACTGTCTTTATCAAGAAAGGCTTTCTTCGTAATTTGAAATTTTAATTCGCCAAGATCCTCATCAGCCTTCCGCTTCTTATTTCGTTTTTGGGCGAAGAACGCGTTGGCTAGAAACTCTCGGGCGTGCGAACAGAAAGATTCATTTATTTCTCTCCTCTTACGTCTATCCATGCTCTTCAGTGTCAAGTGAATCAAAACATCGTTTCGGTGCTGATGTACGGGTTAACTTAAGTGGGTAAATTGAGTGAGCACCATCTTGGTTGAATAAAAACATCATTGAGGTTATACTTTCATCAGACTATTCTGTGGTTCGATTCGATGGCTACCTCGGATAAGTGGAGTTCGTCGACGGATGAGGTTGAGAAGCGGATTATAAATGAGGTTAGCTGGTCGCATTGTACTGTTAATTTCAGCTTGACCATGTTTAACTGATATCCCTTTGTTTCTGACTAATAGGTTGAGAACCTTCACCTGAAGGAAGAACAAGTTGTCGGTCGTGGCAGAGGACGTGGTATTACCCCTGCGAGTCCATTACATTCCGAGAATGGCTCCGTTGGACTTCCAATCGTCGCCCCCGGAGGACCGTCTCCTCTCACGTCAGGAGGCGGAGGTGACGAAAACGTCTCTTCTCCAGAAGAAGACGTAACTGTTGCGGAGAAAAGCCTGCTTACAAAAATCTTGCGCACCACTTTGGTGACGTCTAAGAACGACGTAGAAATTCAAAGAAGTGATCCAAACAGTCCTCTGTATTCCGTTACGTCCTTCGAGGAACTAAAACTGTAAGTTTATGTATAAATACGGGGGCTTGTTCTGAGCACATTTTGACATATTCTGAATTCTTATGCTTCCTGTCAGCTTTGCGAAGCCGGTACAGGAGTTATTTAAATTCGTTCATGTTGATAGCGTGAGAGAACTTTTCATCTTAAGCGTCATAATATTTCCTGTCAAAAATCTTGACTTTTCTTGTTGACAACTGACGAAATTACTAGCACGACCAACCAACACGATGCGACGTACTCTAAATTTTATTGCATAGAATATTCAAACGCCGCGGAGTTGTTTCGTGAGCATTACGGTTGGATTTCTTGATGCCGGAAATTGCATTTTCCTTCACATTTTGATCTAATATCAATTCCTGTTGAAGATTTAATTTTTCTCTGATTAATTTGGATGAGAACTTGCTCAACCTCGATTTTTAATTTTGCATTTTTCCCCACAGTCGTCCGGAGTTGTTGAAAGGGGTTTACAGCATGGGCTTCAACAAGCCTTCGAAAATTCAGGAATCGACACTGCCCTTCATTTTGTCTCAACCGTGAGTATTATCATGATGTAATATTTCAAGATTTCAATTGAAAAGCGGTTTTCCTTTCATTTCTTTCGAACCAAGCGCTTAGATATAATATCAAATTCTCTTGGCTAAATGTGTAATCGAACCTACAAGAACAATATCTGAAATACGGTAGTTTTCAGAAAAATTTCGTTACCATGATCGTTCTCCTTCAAAAGAGGATAACTTTTCGAAAGGATATGCCTATAGTTTGCATCACGTACAAAATTAAGTTCTGGAGCAATACCCCTTTGGTGTGACAAACGTTCCAGTCTTTAATTGTTCGGGAATTTTTTGGGTACTCTTATCTCTAGTCCCGTCAATGTGATAGCTCAAAGTCAAAGTGGAACTGGAAAGACCGCAGCCTTCGCCATAACGATGATCAACTGTGTGGACACCAGTCGACCAGGTCCACAGGCGCTTTGCTTGTCACCTACGTTCGAACTTGCACGTCAGACTGGAGAAGTTATTCAGAAAATGGCTAAGTACTGCACTGATGTAACGATGCGATACGTTGTTCGCGGTGAAGAATGTGAGTGATTCTTACGTAAACCCAATTCTATAAAACATATTGAACTTATGGAAAATTGTCACCGTTTTCTAACTCGTGCAGTCAGACGCGGAGAAAAGATCAGCGAACACATCATTATCGGAACTCCAGGGAAAGTTATGGATTGGATCACGAAGTTCAGAGTGTTAGACGTCCGTGATGTTCGTGTTTTTGTTCTGGATGAAGCGGATGTTATGATAGCAATGCAGGGTCATCAAGACCAATCTTTAAGAATTCACAAGTACGTAACGGAACTTTGAACTTCGTCTATTGTATTTTTTACGGGTCTTTTTTTTTCAAGGACTCTTCCGCAGACTTGCCAAATGCTTCTGTTTTCTGCGACATACGACGAGGAAGTCATGAACTTTGCTTCGAAAGTCATCAAGGATCCCATGATCTTCCGACTAAGACGTGACGAAGAAAGCTTGGACAACATAAAGCAGTACTACATCAAGTGTGCCTCGAAAGAAGAGAAATATAACGCCATCTTGAATATATATGGAGTGATAACAGTGGGGCAGGCGATCATTTTTTGCCATGTTAGTTTTAAAATTATTCTTCGATGCAAGGTATTGAAATCGCCTCTCGGAATTCCAGACGCGGCAGACCGTCCTTTGGCTCACGGAGAAGATGGTCAAGGATCACCACACCGTTGGTATGTTAACCGGAGAGCTGACCACTGAACAACGTATTGCGGTTCTTGACAGATTTCGGAAGGGAGAAGAAAAAGTTCTGATTACTACGAATGTGTTATCTAGAGGTACGTTATCCTTGAAATTTTATTATTTGAACTCGCATTCTTCAAATATCTTCTAAATGTTGTTTCTCACAATTTTGCAATAGCCGCAAAAGAATTACTGTACTGAATGTTTATAATTTTGCTCCGTGGTACTTTCGCAGGTATCGACATCGAGCAAGTTACGCTCGTGATAAATTATGATCTCCCGGTGGACTTGAAAAACCGCGCTGACTGTGAAACGTATTTGCATCGAATCGGAAGAACGGGACGCTTCGGAAAAAGTGGCATTGCGATCAACTTGGTCGATGGACAACAGTCAATGAACGTTTTACGAGAAATTGAGCAACATTTCAATCGGAAAATTGAACTTCTTGATGCTCATGATGCTGACGAGATTGAAAAGCTAAATCAGTAATTTTTCTGGTTTTGAAAACTTTTTGAATTCATGTCTAAATTCCTATGGAAAAAAAGATGCTCTCAAAATGCTTGTTCTGGTTATTAAAAAGAAATTCCCGGCACACATTTTGGTGCATGTTGGGATGGATGAACATGAACGACTCTTCGGAGACTCCGCGCTTGATTCACTACATTACCACTAGCGTGTTATCATACAATGTGTGCTCCTTTTCTTTCAGACATAAATTTAACCATTTTGAGTCGCAGTCCGAAGGATTCCCCGTGTTTTCAAAAATCTGTTACCCCGAACTATTCGAAATGGCGACAGAAGTGATTCAAGAAGCCGATAAGGTCCCCAGGTCGAAGAAACATTCGAAACCGAAGGATATGTTGGTGCGTTTTGACTTTGGAATCTGTGGTTGCTATCGCTTACGCTTTGTTCAAATCTAGATGGAAACTGATGGTCTACCGAGCCATCCGAGTAGTTCGACTGACAAAGGCGAAGGTCTCCGGCAATATTACGTCACGAAAATCGAGGAGTTGCAGTTGACGGTATCTGAGCGCAGTCAAAACTTACGTCGTCTTCAAGCCCAGCGAAACGAACTGAATGCGAAAGGTAGTGTGTAAACGAATACCTTCCTCTTGATTCCGCAAATTATTCAACTTGTTCTTATTCCAGTGAGAATGTTGCGAGAAGAGCTGCAACTTCTCCAAGAACAAGGTTCTTATGTGGGTGAAGTCGTTAGGCCGATGGACAAGAAAAAGGTTCTTGTGAAAGTCCATCCAGAGGGAAAGTTCGTCGTGGACATCGATAAAAACATCGACATGAACCAAGTGACTGCCAACTGCCGAGTAGCATTGCGGAACGACAGCTATGCTTTGCATAAAATTTTGCCGAACAAAGTGGACCCTCTTGTGTCTCTTATGATGGTTGAAAAAGTGCCTGACAGCACCTACGAAATGGTTGGCGGCCTGGATAAACAGATAAAGGAAATCAAAGAGGTTATTGAACTCCCTGTTAAGCATCCTGAGCTTTTTGATGCCTTGGGTATTGCGCAACCGAAAGGTGTTCTGCTTTACGGTCCTCCTGGAACTGGTGAGTTTTTCTTGTTTTCTTCTTTTTTTTTCGTGAAGATTATGAAGTCGAATTTTTAAATACAGTAATGGAGTTTTTTGTATTCGGGTTAAGCTTGATGGAATTTAAAAAAAATTTAATGAGATTTGTTCTTCAAAAATAAGCTGAATTTATTATTATATTTTTATTTTTGGGTTTGCTGTTGATGTTCTATTGTGTTTGCTGAAATAATTTTTTATGAAGCTCCTAATAAATTGTTTTTCTTTCAACGTAGTTGATGGTTTGCTGTTGATGTTCTATTGTGGAATGGTGATATCCCTCGTTTGAAATGCATCTGTAGAAATTTGCAGTGTATTGGTAATGCAGGTATGTCCTTCTTTCCAGGTAAAACCCTCTTGGCGCGTGCTGTTGCTCATCATACAGAGTGCACTTTCATTCGTGTGAGTGGCTCTGAACTGGTGCAGAAGTTTATTGGTGAAGGGTCCCGAATGGTTCGTGAGTTGTTCGTCATGGCAAGAGAACACGCTCCTTCCATCATTTTCATGGACGAAATCGATTCAATCGGATCTTCTCGTCTTGAAGCTGGTAGTGGAGCAGATTCCGAAGTCCAGCGTACCATGTTGGAATTGCTTAACCAACTGGATGGATTTGAAGCCACGAAAAATATAAAGGTGAACTTGAATGATACGTGCTCTTCCTTGATTTTGCGGTACTGCCTGGAATTTAGATTAATGAAAATGTTTGCTCTGTTCGTATGATTAAGATCTTTTTAAACCTTCTTCTGTTTGCAAAGGTCATTATGGCGACGAACCGGATAGATATCTTGGATTCAGCGCTTCTGCGCCCGGGAAGAATCGACCGTAAAATTGAATTCCCACCACCAAATGAAGAAGCTCGTTTGGATATTCTGAAGATCCATTCTAGAAAGATGAACCTGACACGTGGAATCAATCTTCGGAAAATTGCGGAAGTTATGCCGGGAGCCTCTGGTGCTGAAGTGAAGGTAAATGTTATTATCCTGCTTAATCCTTTCGCGTAATAAATTTAAATGTGGTTTCAGGGTGTCTGTACGGAAGCCGGAATGTACGCGTTGCGTGAGAGACGTGTTCATGTGACGCAAGAGGATTTCGAAATGGCCGTTGCCAAAATCATGCAGAAGGACTCGGAGAAGAATATGTCCATCAAGAAACTGTGGAAATGATACGGATATCGTTTAAATGACCTCTATGTGAGAAATTTTTGCGGATGTTCTGTTGGGAAGATTGTGCGAAAGGTCTCATTCCTTAAATAACCCTTTTTCTCTAGTACTCTATTCGTGTTATGAATGATTGTGTGAATACAATCGTTCTGTCTTATGTTTCGGCTTCGGAATCAAAGATATACTTCCTCAAAGATATTTTGATTTTTCTTGATTTTTTCTTCGTCAGAAGTAAATGTGACGTATGTTTTACGAAGTGTCGTAGACCGAGATTCTTCGTGATGGGAGAACTTGATCAGCTAGAGCATCTTGCTCTTGTGTCCAAGGTGTGCTTGGAACTTGAAAACAATGTTGGGATCAACGACAAAGATCTTGGTAAGTGTTACGAGAATTGTTGAACTAATCATAAATTATAATGCTTCGCCTATTCAATGCAGCTGAATTTATTATCGACCTCGCTACGAAAAGTAGTACGTGTGAAGGATTCAAGTCAAAACTCCAGGATAACGGAGGTGAAATGCCGGTAAGTGCGAAAAATGTCGAATCTTTCTTCGTGCGTATTACAGTTTAGATTGAATATTTTTCAGGATTCTTTAATGTCAAATTTATATCGCCTCATCAAAGAACTGCAAACTGAGAAGCAGGCATCCTCTGGAAGTAAGACCGCAAATTCCGGCGAAGTTCATCCCTTCATGACAGTAAAAGAGAAGAAGATGAGAACCTTGTTCCCTGGCTTGTGCATTCCTGATGGAACTCCAGCTGTTGTATCCGATGAGGAATCGACGAAAGCAACGGAAGAACCTGCCAAAACTGTTAAAACTGACGATAAGAAGGTGGTTGATGACACTATGGCTTTGTTGGAGTCCATGGCTACCTCTGCGATTGTTCCTACGGAAAGGTCAGTTGGCGTTATAGAGATTTTCGAATTTTTCCCTCTGCGAGGCTCCATACTTGGCTGGGTTTTTTTTTTTTTTTTTTTTTTTGAGCGCACTGCAAAAGGATTGGGAATCGCGATAAATTTACCATTAAAAAGTACATGTTTTTCCCCATAAAGCAGGCCTAATGTTTAAGTGGCACGTACATCTTTTCTTGCTTCTGTAGTTCTTCAGCTGACCGTAGGAATCGAAACGTTCGGCATCGTTCTCGGTCGAGAGGTCGGAAAGATCGGAGCAGAAGTCAATCCAGGGATCGACGTGATCGTAGTAGAAGTGGATCTCGAGACAGACATGACCGTCGTGATCGAAGAAGACATCGAAGTCGATCACGCTCGAGGGACCGCGACAGACGTGACCGGAGAGACCGCGATCGAGATCGTCGTGAAAGGTCATCGTCGCGCGATCGAGATCGTCGGGGACGGTCGTCGTCGCGCAAACACTCAAAACGCGATCGCTCCCGAAGTCCTGGGAAACGAAAGAATGTCCTTCCTTCTGATCCAACTGTATTGGAGGTGATCATTATTTGAAAATTCTCTTGGTCTGTTCTGTTTTATAACTTATTTTTTTGTCAGATTTATCCGGGGAAAATTACTAGCATCACGGCATTTGGAGCGTTTGTTCAACTAGAGAACTTACAGAAGAAATGGATAGGCCTTGTGCACATTTCCCAGTTGCGGCGAGAAGGAAGAGTAAAAAATGTTTCTGATGTTGTCTCGGTCGGGCAAAGTATCAAGGTACTGTATATTTTCAAAGAATCCTGAGTTTTTCGTCGCTCAGTGAGGCCATGGAATCGTGCTAATCTTCTTCATATTTTCCTTTCTTCTCAGGTCAAGGTTTTATCAATCACTGGTCAGAAGATGTCGTTGTCAATGAAGGATGTTGATCAAAAGACAGGCGAAGACTTAAACCCAATTGCCGGAGGTTTTGGAAAGCCTGCCATGTAAGTCAATGGCGCTTTACGCGTATGCAGTTTACGCAGACTTCAGGAACGGACATAAATTTTACCCTTTTTCAGGTTGAATGAAGACGATACTTTTGGTCGTAACCCAGATCGACCGAATAACCTGATCGAATCTGCAAACCTTCGCGGACTTTTGAATGGGGATCAAGAGGATGATTCGATAAGCCGTCGCCGTGTTCAACGCATTTCATCTCCAGAACGATGGGAAATAAAGCAGATGATGGCCGCGAACTGTATTGACAAATCCGAGCTCCCCGACTTCGATGAAGAAACTGGCATTTTGCCGAAAGAATTGGATGACGACGAAGAAGAAATCGAAGTTGAACTTGTGGAAGAAGAAGCCCCTTTTCTTCGGGGCCACGGCCGTGCAGCATTGCACGACTTGTCACCTGTAAGGATTGTGAAAAATCCGGACGGTTCGCTCGCGCAGGCTGCGATGATGCAGAATGCTCTATCGAAAGAGCGGCGTGAGATTAAAATGCTGCAGAGAGAGCAAGAAATGGACTCCGTTCCTTCTGGGTTGAATGTGCATTGGATTGATCCCATGCCGGATTCCGACGGCCGCCAAATTGCCGCGAATTTAAGAGGCGTTGGTACAATGCAACAAGAAGTTCCGGAATGGAAAAAAGCGGTTACCGGAGGATCTAAGGGTTCATACGGCAAGAAAACGAATCTCTCTATCATGGAGCAGCGCCACAGTTTGCCAATTTATAAGTTGAAAGATGAGCTGATCAAGAGTATCACCGATAATCAGGTATTTATCCAAATGCTTTTTATGTAATCGTAGTCGCTGATTCCTTCGTTTGCTTCATTGTATGTAGAGCGACCAAATGTGTAACATTTCTGGGAATGAATAGGTTTTGCAGGGGATTAAAAGTAATCGCTGGAAATAGCTGCTGGGTGCGTCAGTTACACATGTTTAGGTACTGCACTGTCGTTCCTTTTTTTTATTCCGATGTTTTATGGCAAAACCTGGAGGGGCAGGTGGGAACGCCGAAAGTTGACTGTCTTCTCTTTTTTTTTATGGTCTGAGACTTACACATTCTGTTGATTTCCACAGATACTGATAGTAATTGGAGAAACTGGCAGTGGGAAAACGACGCAAATGACGCAATACCTCGCGGAAGCTGGATTCACGGCGAGGGGAAAAATAGGTTGCACTCAGCCCAGACGTGTTGCCGCCATGTCAGTCGCCAAGCGGGTTTCTGAAGAATATGGCTGTCGGTTGGGTCAGGAAGTTGGTTACACTATTCGATTCGAGGACTGTACATCTCCAGAAACTATGATAAAATACATGACAGACGGTATGCTCCTTCGAGAGTGCCTGCTAGACCCTGATCTCAAAGGTTATTCCGTGATCATGTTAGACGAAGCTCACGAAAGAACAATCCATACTGACGTCTTGTTCGGTGAGTCATTTCGCTGTTCACTCGTCTCAATTGAATTTGTTACTGTGGGTTAAAATCGTGATGCAGCTATGCTAGATACATGGCCATGTTCATGCTATTTTATTATCTGATTTATGCAGGTTTGCTGAAAAAAGCTGTACAGAAGAGGGAGGAGCTAAAGTTGATAGTTACGTCCGCCACGCTGGACGCAACGAAATTTTCCGAATACTTCTTCGAGGCACCTATCTTCACTATCCCTGGCCGGGTATTCCCTGTTGAGATTTTGTATACCCGAGAACCTGAAACGGATTATTTGGATGCGTCACTCATCACGGTTATGCAAATTCATCTCAGCGAACCCCCAGGCGATGTTCTTTTGTTTCTCACTGGTCAAGAGGAAATCGATACGGCGTGCGAAATTTTGTACGAGCGAACTAAAGCTCTGGGCCCTGGTGTCCCGGAATTGATAATCCTTCCAGTTTACTCGTCGCTGCCCTCTGAAATGCAGTCGAGAATCTTCGAACCTGCTCCTCCAGGTTCACGAAAGGTCATCATTGCGACAAACATAGCTGAGACGTCTTTAACGATCGACGGTATCTTCTACGTCGTGGATCCGGGGTTCGTGAAACAAAAGGTTTATAATTCAAAGTCTGGTATGGACTCTTTGGTCGTCACGCCGATTTCACAGGTATGTCGGAAGTTCGTAGCCTTCATTATATTTCGCTGTTTTTCTGTCAGTTCCAAAAACCAATTCCAATTTTTTGTTCGTGTTTAGGCTCAAGCGAAGCAGAGAGCTGGCCGTGCTGGTCGCACTGGTCCGGGCAAGTGCTATCGCCTCTACACCGAAAGAGCGTATCGAGATGAAATGTTGACCACGCCAGTCCCAGAAATACAGCGGACGAATTTGGCAGCTACGGTGCTCCAGCTGAAGGCGATGGGTATCAACGACCTATTGCATTTTGAATTCATGGACCCGCCGCCACCGGAAACGCTCGTTATGGCGTTAGAACAGTTGCATTCTCTTTCGGCACTTGACGATGAAGGCCTCTTGACTCGTTTAGGCCGCAGAATGGCCGAGTTTCCGCTTGAGCCTACACTGGCTAAAGTTCTGATCATGTCCGTGCAACTAAAATCGTCGGACGAAATGTTAACTATTGTGAGCATGCTTTCAGTTCAGAATGTGTTCTATCGTCCGCGTGACAAGCAAGCTATTGCTGATCAGAAAAAGGCAAAGTTTAATCAAGCGGAAGGGGATCATTTAACACTTCTCGCCGTCTATAACGCTTGGAAAAACAACAAGTTTTCCAACGCATGGTGTTACGACAATTTCGTTCAAATCAGAACGTTGAAGCGTGCCCAAGACGTTCGGAAACAGTTATTGGGCATCATGGATCGTCATAAGCTGGATGTTGTCTCCTGTGGGAAAAGCACGTACAAAGTGCAACAAGCCGTGTGTTCGGGTTTCTTCCGTAACGCTGCGAAGAAGGATCCTCAAGAAGGCTATCGAACGCTTGTGGATCATCAAGTGGTTTACATTCACCCGTCATCGGCTTTGTTTAATCGTCAGCCAGAATGGGTGGTGTATCACGAGCTCGTGATGACGACGAAGGAATACATGAGAGAAGTTACGACGATCGATCCGAAGTGGTTGGTTGAATTCGCGCCGGCTTTCTTCAAAGTGTCCGATCCCACGAAGCTGTCCAAGTTCAAGAAACATCAACGCTTGGAGCCCTTGTACAACAAGTACGAAGAACCGAATGCCTGGCGTATATCCCGTGTTCGTCGACGTAGGAATTAGGTTTCCTTTTCTTACCTGTTATTCGACTGCGTGTGGCTTTGAATGTCGTTTATTTTGAGCGGAGATGAAAGTTCTCATTTTGCGTTAACGCTTTTCTTTCATTTCAGCGTGAGTATATCAATGTGAAAGAAAAAAATGAAAGCTCATTTTTCGTTGAATTGTTTTGTGAAGGTCGTGATGCAGTATGTGGTGAAACGCGTATTGCGTGTGACGTGAGATTTTGTGGCGCTTTCGAGAGTTCGGAGTCGTATTATGGCCATTCTCGGTTATGAATCCCTTGCTTCCACCTTGGAAGAGCTGCAAACGTTGCTGTGGGGTCCCGTCATCAAACAAGAAATCTGGGAGAGATGGTCACAAGGTACTGATTTTATTTATTTATTTTTTTTAAGAGAATGTTCTTCTGTGTTAACGGCGAGTTTTCTGTGATCAGGATTCAGTTTTAGTGAAAACGAAGGGACAGCTTTGTTGCAGAAAGAAGGCGGACCATGCGCCGTTATTGCTCCTGTTCAAGCATTCTTGCTGAAAAATTATCTTGAGGATGGCGTCAGTTGTATAGAGAACCTGCGAGGCGTAAGTTCTTCACTGTTAAAAGCATTTTCCAAGCCGTTCGTGAAGCACTTCAATTTCTTTAAGGTGGGTGAAGAAGGGAGGAAAACAATGTTCCTGAATAGCCTATCGGAAATTATACATCAAGCCTCGAATGGTTCTGAAGCGGCCACGCTTGTTGTGCAAAACACTGCGGATGTGCTCGAGAAGGACAATGGGGAAGCCCCGCCTCCTATCGAAATGTCCGCAGTAGATCCCCGCTCTCCAGAGGTATTCCTCAAAAATTCCACGTGAGTTCTATGCATGATCTCAAAATCAAGCTCTACTTGTGAGTCTGACTTTCCTCGCTTTTCGGGGGTTCTCTTTTCAACTATCCCGGAACTCGGTGGACTTTATTCAGGGGTTCAAAGTTTTTCAAATAGCTACGGTGCCATTTTTCTTGGTGATTACTTACTTCCAGCCTTTTTTTTTTTAAAGGTGATGCTTTTTTGATGAGAGTGACGCGAGAACTGCGTTGATGTGTTTTTCAATGTCTTTTTTCATAGTTACATTGCGCTTCAGGGCTCTCATGAAATTCATGAAGCCCTTTTACGACATTTCGATGTCTTCTGCTGCAACCTGGGTGTTCTTCGTTTCCTATATTCCGTCCTTCTGACAAAGGTGTGGAAACGTCTTCTAGATCGGAATGTTGTTTTGAAATTATCGCATGATACCATCGAGTTTTTTTTTTTTTCTGCCAGGGTCTGAGCAACATCAAGCAAGAAATGGAGGACCCTAGTGAAGGGCTGATAGACGGAATTTATGGCCATGGAAGTCAAAGTCTCATCAATTTATTTCTCACCGGAAAAGCTGTTAACAATGTATGGGATAACACCCGCGATGTTGGAGGACTGAGTATGTAGCTATTTTTCCGAAGGCATTCCGGTGTGATAGGCCATCGTGTATGTGTTGTGCAGGCTTACGTGGGATTCCGGCACAGAATAAAGTAGGATTTCTGACAACTTTGGAACACCATCGATATTGTGAAGTCGGCAGCTACTTGAAGAATCCTTTGTATCCTGTTTGGTTATTGGGTTCTGAAACCCATCTAACAGGTTTGTTCTCGGTTATCTCGTATCTTCTTGTCGGGTCATTAATTTTTTTGTGCTTGGCAGTTCTATTTTCGTTTGACTCTGGACTGACGGCTGCTGAGAGCCCGAGGGAAATTGCCCATCGGATATTTAAATCGTTTGACCCTGAAGGTAACGGGTTTATCTCGTGCGAAAAGCTGCAAGATATCATGGTTGCCTTGAATTTAGTTTCAGAACCAGAGTAGTGAGTAAATGTGGAATATTTTTAAATACGGTTTTGATGACGTTCTTTTTTTCAGTGTCAACATCATGAGGCAAAAGTTGGATGAAGAGGGCCTAGGCATCATTTTAAGATCAAAATTCATGGAGGAGTTTTATCCGCAAAGTCGTCGAGAATCCAAAACGAATTCCTTTTCACTTTTCCATTACAATGGATTAGAGCGATCATGTCAAGATTCCAAGGTAGATTTTTCGAATTTTATGTGTGCGTATTTTCTGGGACTTCTTTCCATCCCGGGGAATTTTATTCTTCATTGTTCAGGTGGTGTTCCAAGAAGGTCAGGCTGAAGTCGTTGATGGAGAAATTCAAATGATGCATGACCAAACGCCGATTCTCCTTTGCGTGCAGACCAAGTGGCCTAGCATCGACGTCAACTGGAAATCCGGACGGGCGCCATCGCTAAATTAGACCAAAGCCGAGTTTAGTGCTCATTCTTGCTCATTTTTTGTTCAGAGTTTGACTCTCGGATTTACTTCCAAGCTTCCAGTGATGGATGAAATTGATTTCCATGTGATTTTTTTTCTGTTTTTCACTAATGTCAGATCCGGTAAGATATACTCGTGGAACAAGTATCTTGAACAAGAAGGTGATGAAGAAGTTTTATTGTTGCTTGTTTACTCAAAATATGGTTTTCCTGGTGGACTTCGCTAAATCTGTTATTTATTTGAAGAAGCTTCTTTCGACAGTCCCGTTTGTGTTCCTGCAACTGTGACACTGGTAACTCATTTCACGTGAGGAATCACAAGCATTAAGTTTTCCATGCGTTTTACCCATTGGTTGCATTACCATGCTGTCTTGCCGAGAACCTCGCAGGATTTGGAGTGAAATGTGCCAGTGATCGATAAAACCCGATGAAACGTTATTCCATGTTGATTCATTTCACATTCGTCTGTTGAAAACAGTTCTCTTTTTTTCGCTGAATTCGTTATTTCCTGTTGGCAGGAGAAGCTTCATCCTGGACCATGAACGTGGTTCTCGATTTCGGGCCTAGTGCGGACGTCAATGCATCTTGTGAACGCGCCCTCGACGCCAAGTTAGTGTTTTTCTGAAAGAGGACGATGAAAGGAAAAAAAAAAAAATCGTGCAACTGTCGAAATTTGCGATTGGACGATCTTCTTCTGAACTTCTATTTTAGTTTTGCAGGTGCAGTTGCCGTTTCAAGACACCCTCTGATTCCGTTTTCTGCATTTGGCGAAGGGAAGATTTCCACATCATGCTGCCTGGAGTTGAAAAACAGTAAAAAAAATTTCTTCTTAACTAGATATCTATGTACAAAATTTTTTATTCCTCTCGTCTTCCGCTGTAGATTTTTCTTTGTATTCGAGGCTTTCGTCCCCTGTCGGACTTTGGTGTAGAAACGCCAATGTAGTTTCTCGGACGAAGGCGAGTTTGAGCGAAGAAATTTCTTCAGCAATTTTCGCCGGGTCACATGCGGTCCTACTAAGACTTCCGCAACGCCCAAGCATTGAACTCATAAATTTTTTGCAGTTGACACTCAAAGGGATTCAATATCAGGTAATTGTTGTTCACTTTTTCTTAATTTCTGCTGCTTTTTTTTTTCTAGTCGTCGGGTAAGGACATTTTTGTCAGAAGAGCGAGTATGCCTTGATTTCCACACGCTGTCAAAATGGAGAGGCTTCTTTTTAGCATTCGATATAATAGCAAAGCAATTCAAATTATCGGTAGTTTTTTCTATGGTTGCTTGGATCATTTCCGGTCTTGAAAATTTTAATTTTCCGTCACGTAGACACTGTACCAAGGATGATGGAAAGTCAACCTACTGCGCATGAACTAGTTTCATCTATACGCACAACAGTCTCATACAAAAGATTGCCTTAAAAATGCACCCGAACTTCCAATAATCTGCAAGTATTCGGTCTATTTTCTGAGAGACTGCATCCAACAGATGTCAGGAATTGGAGGAACATTTTTCTTGATACCGTGTCTGATAACTAAGTTCTTAATTTTCAAAACATTTTAATGAAGGCCAGAAAACACTATCCAACTCCCTGATCATCTGAAATATGTTACTGTATTTTGAATTGAATATTTCGTGGTAAGTAAAGTATTCAGTTGCCCGCAGATACAAGGGGTCTAACAAATGCTCTTGAAATCGAAATTGGAATGGCATACAATTGAGCTGAAAAACAATTATAGTATTGTCCAAATGAAAACATTTTTGGCACACAAAAAATCAGCCCTGTTTGACATTTTTTTAAACTTTTTTCTTGTTGCAAAAGTTACCCTGGGATCTTTCTGCTCTTCACTCAAAAGATATTTTGGTGTATGCCAGCTTTCCCATCAGAATTCTTGAAATCGACATTACAGTACATTGTTTCCAAGGGTTGCTGCCATTGATTATCAACTCCGCCATTTCTATCAACAGCCTCCACTTGAGATGATAAATTTGGCGGCTGTTGATGAAAATGGCGGAAGAACTGGAGGCAACCGTCGTATGTCTTAGATCATTTGTACCAAAAAAAAGCAAACTCGCGAAGAAAAAAAGTCTTCTGAATTGTGGGCATAGCTTTGCTCTGATAATTTTTACCAGATCTCGTTATACTTATTTGGTGCTTGCAATTTGTTCTTCAGTAAAGCATGTTTTCTGATTCTTCTTTTCTGTACAGTGTCGATTTATCATTTCCGTGCCCTTGGCAGTGCCTTCAGAAACGGAAGAAGCCGAAAGCACGTGGCATTGGTGCGTTGAATAGGCTTGAATATTGATAATTTTTTGATTCGTCAATGTATCGTACGTCTTTTTTTTTTTCATCAAGGTGGAGTGAAATACGAGACGCAATCGGTGATGAGATTGCAGTCAGATGCGTATCCTTGTGTCTTGAAATTCCGACCGATTTTGACTACGACCCCGTTGTTCTCGAGCGTTGGTGTGCGGATAATGTGCACTTCTTCTCGCTTCCAAAAGCTGTCTGGGTTTCTCAGGCCGACAGTCCGTCAAACCTTGTTTTATCGGGTTACCATGAACAAATCGCTGGTGTGTTGATTTCACGCAAGGTAATACCCGTCATTCAGTCACAAGATGGCCAAGAAGCCAATTGCTCCTATCATTTCACGGACTGGGAAAGAATCAGTTATGACGCCAAAGACATTCTCAGTCTGACTCCGTTGCCGAGAACCTTCGGGGAGATGCATGAATTGTCGGATGCAATGTCTGCCTTGTCACCCGGGAAGGAAGAGGCGTTTGTTGCGGCCATTTCAAACGCAATGAAAGCTATTTTGAAAGGAAAGCGGGAGAAAATTCATTCACTGTAAGTGCTGTAAAGTCAAGGATATATTTAATCTCTCTCAACATGTGTCATAGATTAAATCTCTTGAGCTATTGGCGCTTCCAGCGTGGAAAATCCAATTAATTGCCATTAATTCAGTTTATTTCCAACGATCTGTTGCATCGTGGCTCCTTCTGCATAGGCAGAATCACAGTCGAGAAAGAGTTCATGAAAATGTCTGCTTGCGTTCTCAACCCTGCATTATTTCGTTCAGATTTTTTTTTTTATAATGGTTGTTTGAGGGAAATGTTTCTTCTCATATTTTTTAATGAACCATGCGCGTTTTTTCGTGTGTGAGGGAATGTAGGCTTTGCGGGAGACGCCGAATAATGATGAGTTGTCCAAATAAATATCGAGCGGTTGTTGAAAGAATTGTATTTTGAGCCTTCATCACAATTCAGTTTGAAACAGGATCTGAACTTTTGGGATTCTCAAAATAAGAAATACCGTATCAAGATTCCAAGATGAGAATTCATGTGAAAACGTACCGTATGTTCATGGTTCGTTTCTTTATGAAGACCCTGATGTTTATGCCAACGCAGCCATGCCATAAATTCAAAAGACAATTCAACTTTTATTCTTTTTTTTCACGTGGTAGGCTATATCTTCTGGGAGAAATCAATGCTCGAGAATTGATCTACACGTCTTCCATTTATGCTGGTGTTCTATTCTTCACGCTTTTTTTCAGTTCGGTGCTTCTGCTCAATGTAGAAAACCTGACTCTGATTGAAGTTATCAGCAAAGCTTTGTTGGCATTCGTCGATGTGCAGATAAATGTTTTGATCCTTCATCAGAATGAATTTTGCACTCTGCTGTGAGTACTTTTCTTCCAGTAGCTCCAATTTGCGTTCCGGCAATTTTTGCTCTTATGCAGATTAAAACATTTGTTCGATCAACGGAAGTTCGGAAAGGGGAAGATTTCAGTAAAACCCTGGTCTGAAACCTTCAAATCCGACTGTGCTTTTGATCTGATAATCAGCGATGCTTTCGGGGTTTTCGGGGACGATCGAGGACTCGAGTTTATTTTAAACTCGTTCGTAAAGTATTTGCAACGTAAGTAATTTTTATATTTGTTTGCTCTGATTGCTGCAGTAATATACTTGATTATTTTTAGCTTGGGGAATTGTGATCCCGGAGAAAGTCATGTCGTATGTTGTTCCCGTGCAAAGTAGTGAGATTTACGCTGAGCACCAAAGAATGCGCGGGTTTCAAGGAGTCCCACTTTTTGCGAAACGTGTTTGTCGAATTTTCTCGTCGTGCGAGCCAGTTCGCGTGCAGAACATTATGTTCTCATCTGAAGCTACAAAACCCTGTCTTCCGCAAGAATTCAGCGCCATTGCCGAGTTCACGCCAGATTTGGATTTCCGTGTACACGGCTTAGTTGGATTTTTCAAGGCTGTGTTATCCGAAGGAGCAATGTACTCGAATTATAGCCGAAGTGCAGAGAAAAGCTGGCAAGGATTTGAGTCGCTGATGTTTTTACCGATCCAGGTGAGCCACGATGCAACAGATCGTTGGAAATAAACTGAATTAATGGATGATGTTTTTACCGATCCAGGTGAGTTTTTTTTTTTTTTTTTTGAGGCAATTTATATGGACATTTATGTATGTTATTTAATTTGATACTTCACTACTAGAAGTGGCTGTAAGATAATCTTGAAGCATCGTATCGGGGCTTTTCACAACGCGCTTTAGATTCGAGTGATCCTTTCCGACCAACTCAAATTCTCAATTGAAATGTATTCTCCAGATAAAATTGAAAGGTTCTCGGTGATGTGCGGGAAAATATTCTGCATCTCCTGCAACATCAAATCATCAGTGCAATAATAAATTCGAAAAAAAAAAGAATAAAATTACAGCGTCTTCCACATTCTGGTGATTCTTCTTTTCCTTCGAACCTTGAAGTACAGAATATTTGTTCAGAAAATTCAAATAAGGTAGCACGAAGAAATACCAATCGTTTGACAAGTTGACATAGGTTTTCCAAAGAAGAAATATCCTATTAACCGCGTTCTCCAATTTAAATGAAAATAATGAAGCAAGCGTTTTAAATTTGCATAAAAATATCCAGTACACTGCACTGCGAGACGCTCTCTGCGACAATTTTCGCTGTATAAAAAAATGCTTGGTTCCGTTTTAGGCATAGCACTCTACTCATTAAATTTGGGCTCTGTGCAACAGGATTCTGTCTACAATGTCCATCTATTTCATTGTGAGCGTACATTTGTATTAATTTGTAAGGAATAAAAATAAGGTTCTTCACTTCTTACATGAATTTATGACCTCATATATTCAACTGAATATGGTTCAGTATTCTCGTTTTTACCAAGTCCCATAAGCCTTTCAACTGTTTCCAGGAATCCTTTTCTGCTGTTGCTGGGAAGCCGCTGAAGATCGAAATCAAGAAGAGAGTTGAAAATTCATGCACTTGGTTGGAATGGAGATCATTGAACCCCGATTACAATTTGGGAAGCCGTAGTGATGCCTGGATAAATACCGATGGTTGTAGGTTCCGTCTATCTGGTCTGTCAGACCAAGGTCTTCCTGATTTGAGACTTCAAGATCTTGAAATTTGAAAAACGTATCATGTTATGCATTAAAAAAATTGAAAATTATAATTAGCTTCTTTTTACTTTCTGAATTGTCGCAGGTTGAGGTGAAAACGTTCGAAAATGGAAAAATTCACTACAGTACATCGTTCATGTTGAGCCAAATTTTTACTATCAAATACATCAGTGGGTTCAAAACTTTGCTAACACACTTCAACAGCCATTTCCCGAAACAGTTTCATGCTCCGTCCTTTCCAAGAAAAGAAAATAACTTGCATTCCACACATTGAAAACATCCAAAGCCATCGCACGCATTAATCGAGGTAACTCCCGACTGATATCAAACGTATTTTTCTCATTTTCTCTGGAAATTTCCACCCATCTAGTAATTCCTGCGGAAAAGACTTCGTCCAAAATGAAAATTAACGGAGCAAGAGTTTCTTGAAGAATGCGGAGTGCAAAATATTGCTAAAGCAAAAACCGTAAATTTGTCACGTGAGGATCAGACAAGAAAACTGCAGCTGAACAGGAATAATCAGAACTTTTCCTTGCACGCGCTACAATAATCTAATTTTTTTTTGGGATCCAATCAATTTTGATCCCTTAACAATAATGAAGAATCGAACCTCTGCCCATCAAAATTTCGATCAAAAATCTTCACACCACAGATTCTCGAAATAGCTTCTGATGTCACGCGTAAACTTTCGAGGAAACGGTCGGGTTCCCAAAATTCGGGATGGAACGAAATTACTGGGAGGATCCCGAGGAGTCTTTCCATCATCACAATCAATATCCACAACATTTTTAGATCATCGAAAATAAAAAAATGGCAACTCAACACAGCAGCGCGTGATGATCATCACGGTAATGCCTTCGCATCACCTGGAATCAAATATTGGTGCAATGGGCAGCATAGGGGTGAAATTCTGGAATCTAGAAAATCAGGTGCAGCGAACAGAAATCGACGAGTTGTCGATCACTTTTCTGCCAAGTATGATTTAGCTTTCTCCATTCTACTGACCGCTACAAAAACGAAGTTAAATTACAAAACGAATCGTAAAATACTTGTTCATCTGCCCTCCCATGCCTTACGTGGCGAGCGGGATACGCAATGGTGCATAAGGTGACATCTACGAACTAAAATCAAAAAACCAAAGCTATCTTCGAAGCTTAGAAATGAAAGAAGCCACGTTCAAGGCTGTGGTTCCCTTCCTCAAAGGTCTGCCCATTGCACCAAAACAAAACAAAAAGACTTGATGGCAAAGAGGAATAGTTCGTTACTCTTAAACTTGTGTTCTTCCGCATTGCCAAGCATCTGGCACCTCGTCCTGCCCCTCTTCGTCATTTTCCTGTTGACCGGCTGCTCGCGTATTGCACTCAACCACCGTTGTTTCCTCTTGAATATAATACGCAATATCTGACACGTATTCATTCCCGGGGTTTCCTTGTTCGCCGTTATCCTCGTCAAATTCTTTGCGATTGAACGCGGACTTGCTGCTGTGCAACGACCATTCCTTCTCATAAATCTGCCCCAGGACACTGATGGTGAGTCTGGGCTCTGGTTGATGACGAGACCAGAACTTGAGCTTCTTGGCTATGCCCGAACTCCCGCCGAAGGAACTGTTGGACGCGTTGAACGCATCCGACGAGGAGGAAGATGCGGCGTATGTTCCTCGGCGAATCGAAGATGAAGACGTTGAATTACTGGTGGATGAGGTGCGACACTTGACATATGTTGCTATGCAGAGTGCGGAGATGAGAACTGCTGCGCTGACGACGACTACTGCGGTTAAAGCTGGGCTGAGTAGAAACTCGTTGGAAGCGTTTTGGAGGCGGCGACGAGTTCGTTCGTCGGGGTTGAAGATCTGCTCGGCTTTCGGGACTTCATTTTCTTCAGTCGTCGTTGGCAGCACCGAAGTCAAATTTTGATGCGCATGTTCCTCGTCTGAGGAGGAAACTTCTTGGATGCACGTATCTCCTGAAAATATAATAAAATATGTAAGATTGATATCGTGTGTCTCCTCAAAAATATGTCAAAAATAAATATAATAAAAATGAAAATAAGTCAAAAATCAAAGTCTCGCATCCAGAATGATTGGGCATAATGTTTTTGGAAAATCAAAGGACAGATTCAGAGTTACCAAGAGAAATAAAAAAGTCCTGCTGCTTATTATCACCAACGAATTTCCATTTAAGAAAAATAATACACATCGAGGTCGACTGTTTTTTTTTCCTAGATTTGTAGGTGGGTTCCATTTTACGAAAATTCCTGTCAATGCAATCTCGCACAGAGAAAAAATCATCAAGGGACCTTTTATGTCGGTTTATACGGGAAATGTCACGAATAAATAACATCAACTTCGCATGCTTAAGTTCACTGGCAATAATCTTCCAATTTGGTCTGTGTTCTTTTTAAAATGTTGCCACAGCGACTGCCCAAAAGATCTTCGCATTTCTACATTAAAAGCATTTTATTGAAATTTTTCTTTTCTTCTTTTTAATCCATGGTCTCAAATTTGTCTTGTCCCATCTTCGAACAGGGCTGGTTTCCATTCAAAAGCCTTCGCACAGAAATAATTTTAAAATTCACGAAAAATTATTGAATTTTCTCCGTGGACGAATGAAATTGAATTTGTGACGAATCAAAGATCATTTTCTTAACTATTAGGACGGTTATTCTTCATACATAAATTTATTTTTCCAATGCTCCAAATTACAGCAACACTTTCGAGAAACCGCGTATTACTCGCCTTCAGTAAAATCATCCCTTCCCATTTAAAAATCATACCGTACCAGAAAATTTTAAAAGAAAGCAGATCTAAGGCAAGAAAACCTTTGACTTTCTACCCGCGTTCAAGTCTTATCAAGTGGTTCGCACAAATCTTGATTCGTTCAAGGTTAACGAAATGGTACTTTCATTGGATCATGTTCGTTTGAGGGTTTCGAGTTACCGCAGAATACTTGACGAGCCCTTGAGAATTCATTTCTATTTTCGACGAAGCGAATAATTTTGCGTCTAGCTGGGTATGGTGTCTTATTTCAAGAAATCGTGGAATTGGCAGTTTTCTGGTAGTAATTGGATGTTACGCAATCTCAAATTGAATCGGTAGCACGGAATCCTTCGATTCGGGTAACCCTGAGCTGATTTAAATTTGTTTGCTTTAAAAATTATTGAGTAAAAATTTATTCTTCACGTGAGTAATTTATGCAGCGCAAGTCGTGAAGTGGATTTCTGGAGGTTTCATTTCGGTCACCATACTTCCTCGTCACCAAAAATACCCGTTAATTTACTACAGCTGGACTTTCTCTGCAAAGATCTTATGTACTACTAGTTTCTCTGTATAACGATTTTTTTTGCCCCATAGGGTCCTCTCTCCTTGTTCTAGAGTTTTTTTGTGCTAAAATTCCCTCTACAACGAATTTCTTCTGGTCCCTTGAATTTCGTAGTAGAGCGGGTCCATGTCCATCTGTACTACTACAGTAATTTCAATAAGAGACGACATGAATTAATTTGCTGACGATTACGATAGACCTTAATACCGTATTTTTTAAAAAAGAAGTTGCATACTTTTCAGACACTATACCCGAAGTACGTCTGGGCCTCAGGGCATCATTCGATAAATTGGAACACACGCCTGAATTATTTTCCTAAGTAATTTGGAATTGAGAAGATATTATATTCCTTCTCCTCTTTTTTTCACAAGAGTAGCTGTTGAACATTGTCAATGATTTTCCTAACGCGCTATTTTTTTTAAATAATCCTAAATTGATCATACGAACAATTTTTTCAGCGCAATACCTCTTTCCGACTATTTGTTTCTTTCGAGTGAGAGGATTTTCTCTCACCCGAGTACAGTGTGTAATAAGGCGTCGCCAATATTCCATGAGGTTATTGGGGATTATGTAAGGAAATATTGTGTACTGTACTGTACATATCTTTTATACATACTGTACATGTGTTTAGGAGAAGATTAATATTATGCAGAAATTTTAGATATCAGTAGAAAATTTTATTCGACGTTTCAAAATCACATCACGTGATCTTTGCTTGAAATCCCAGTATTTCAACCTCATTTGGAAGATTAATTTCTCCAGTCGTCAAATCCACTCTCAAAATTTCTGTTACAAAACTTTACCCATACAATATTAAATAATTCAAGTATCTTTCAGCTTTAGCACATCCAATTCTCCTCGACATTATTCGACTCCACCCTGGATTTCCTTCGCAATAATCGCCTCGCGAATGTTGACGTGCATAATTTATTACTGCTGCGAAGCAAGCGAGTCGAAATGATGAAGGGAGAACCGCGGTTGTTTTCTTTTTCCTTTCCGAAAGAAGCATCAAAATGTAATCAATGCATATGGTAGAAAACATCACATGAAAATTTGAGTACAGTAGTATAATCAACCCGAGTATGGCATGTTCTACGCACTGCTGGGCCAATGTTCCCTCTATTCGGCTGAAATGTTCTGCACTGAGGACTTTTATGCAATTGTTTTTTTTTTTCTCGTTCATCTGGATTCATTTTCATGATTGAAATAATCCTCTCTTGTTATGAGAACACAGCCCCAGAGATTGATTTATTTGAAGTAAATATCATTCGAATTTCCCCGAGATAAATTCGGTACTCTAACAACTCTTTTTTTATTTTCACTGCCCCTCGATGAATTCTTCAGTCTAGAACTCGAGTTGAATGGCAATAAAACTAATTTTTCAGAATGATATTTTAGTCTTTCGTATAACCCCTGACGTTCAACGTTTTGCTCAGCCAGCAGCACCAGTTTGCATTGGCTAAAAAGGACACACAATTTTGCGGAAATAAGGTACATCCAGCATGTTGTGTGAATTTGCAAGCGATCTCAAAGGTACAATGCAAGAACACATAATCTAGATAATCTTTAAAAATCTCATAATTTTATGTATCCGATCTAACAAGTGTATTTTGCTGAAAAAAAAAGTGGTGATCTTCTTAATACAGTACTAGTTACCTTTATTTTTAGCTGCAAAATTATGCACAATTTCTACCGCATTAGATTCGCACTTAAATTTTCACTGAAGGAAATTTACA